AAATAATAGGGGTTAAAGTATGAAATTGCCGATTTGTACTGAAAATCTAAATTGTTTATTTTTTAAATTTTTAACAAATTTATTTAATCAAAATAGTTGCCATTATTATCTATACATTGCTGCCATCTAATGGGAAGGTTATTAATGCCTTTGCGATAGAACTCCGACGATCTAGACTGCACAAACTGTGTGAAAGCATTTTGTACTGCCTCCTGGGAAGAAAACTTCTTGTCACGTAGATAATTGTCCAAATCACGAAAAAAATGGTAGTCCGTTGGAGCAAGGTCTGGTGAATACGGAGGATGACGAATGGTTTCTAACTGCAGTTCCTGAAGGGTCAAAATGGTTTCTCGTGCTGTGTGAGGTCTCGCGTTGTCGTGGAGCAATAATGGTGAAGATCGATTCATGAGTCGGGGCTGTTTTACTGCTAGTTTTGTCAACATGGTTCGGAGTTCGGCACAATAGACATCTGCCGTTATTGCTTGACCAGATCGGAGAAAACTATAGTGAATAACACCATGCTGAGACCACCAAACAGTTACCATTACCTTTTTATTGGTAAGTTTTGCTTTAGGACACTGTTGTGGCATTTGACCTGGGGTCAGCCATTGCATTTTTCTTTTCCGGTTATCATAAAGAATCCACTTTTCATCACATGTTACAATTCGATCCAATATTCCTTCATTTCTGTACCGGTTCAACAAGGCAACACAAGTTTCAACACGCGTTTCTTTCTGCAGATCAGTCAAATCATGAGGCACCCATTTTTCGTATTTTTTTATTTTATTGATTTGACGCAAGTGAGTCAATATTGTGGGTAAGGTAACGTTAAACCATGCCGCTAATTCCTGGGTAGTTTGACTAGGATCGGCTTCCACTATCTCTCTTAATTCATCGTTATTCACCTGTGTGGGCGGTCTTCCTCGTGGGTCGTTCTTTAAGTCGAAATTTCCATCACGAAAGCGTTTAAACCAAAATCGCACGGTGCGTTCATTAGTAGACCCCTCTCCAAACGCAGCATTGATATTGCGGGCCGTTTCTGCCGCGTTAGTTCCGCGTTGGAACTCGTATTCAAAAATCACTCGAATTTTCGCAGTATCCATCTTTCTTGTCTAAATTGAATAACAAAAACAATTGAAAGTCGATATTCAAATGTTTCAAATTTAAAAAAAAAAAAGAAATCACAGAAACCATTTGAAAAAAGTTTCATTCGAAAACCTCAAACCATGAAGATTCTATGAAAATTCAAAGAACCTATTGCAATAAAACGGCAATTTCATACTTTAACCCCTAATAAAACACAACTGCCTTCCACTAACTAAAATGCGGTTAAGTGACAAATGGTGAAATATTCGTTATAAATAGCAAAAGATTTCGTTATAAAGACAAAATTCTGTTTTAAAAACATTTCAAATTAGTTAATGTGTTCGACTTATCGGAACTTACCCTAACGAAGCATAGCTCAAATATCATTAAACAATTTCATTATTGAGTTCTTAGGTTTTCGCGATTGTTACACATAGGAAATGAAACTATTTTTCCGGATTTAAATCGCGTATATTTGTTTTTTCAAACAAACCGACGTTTCCAACCGTGACCATGGGACCTGTAAAGGGCCCGAAACGCGAAATATACGCGATTTAAATCCGGAAAAATAGTTTCATTTCCAATTTCATTATTCTAAAACTGGGTTATGGTTTCCCAAAAAAATATTTTGTCACTAAGCCGCGTTATAGTTAGCTAGTTTTGTGCACAAACGGCCTTAGATTATTAAAGACATCAATTTTGATAGTATTCTTTACTGACCTGTAATGCTGATTGTTCGACAGCTGGACTTCGTCCTTGAGCCAAGTGATGGCGGGAGGGGGGTACGCTTCCACGTGGCATTCCAGGTCCATGTCGTATTGAAGGGCCTGGAAAGTTAATAGCACTGTAACAACGCGAGCCAATTGCAACTTCACCCATTCACAACTCAAGCTACGAACGGGGGGAGTTTCGGATGGGGCTAGTTGCATTGGAAATGAAATTCAGATAGTTACTGCATAAATATTTCAGAATTTATTTTTTTATAAGCGAAATTAAAACCATTTGTCGCGTCTAGCCTCCATGGCTGACCAGCGTCCAGTCTCCATGGCTGACCAGACTGACAGGCCACAAAGACAGACTTACTAGACTGACAGGAGTTCGAAATTAGACCGACTTTCTTTTGGACAAAAGACGACGAGGACGACAATCATTATTTCAGAATTTAAAAAACTTAGCATTGTTTGTCGTTCTGTAGTTTTTATAGTGATTTGACGTGGGTTTTTTTCTGGACATCGTGTAAGCGACTAGTCTATCCAAAACAATTGCAGTGCCACTGAAAGCTTTAAATAGCAAAGATCTGAGGGGCACTGTCACTGCGCCCGTCACCTTGAGATGTAAAGCTGACAAGTCACTCGACGAGCCTGTGTCTCACCAGCGCGCTTGCCTTTCGCAGTAATGTACCACATTACTCCTTGGCAGCAGAAATAGGTATAGTGGCAATACTGCTAACTAAAATGGTAATGTCAGCTGGATTCTAATCGTCAAACATCGAGTATATAACCAGAAATAGAGACGAAATCATTTAATATTCTGCCTATGTCATTACTGTGACAACTGCGCTCCGATTGGCCAGCCCGAATTCGAAACAACTGACGGGTGTGGTTAATTGTTTCACTTCAAATCGACCAGTTAACTTGAGCTTTGCTATAGTGGACGACAATTGCAAAATTACAATGGTTCAGTTTGTTTTGTAATTAGATGTTCTGCTGTTTTTCCACACACCACCACGCGATTGTTAGAGATATTCATCTTTATTACAATAAATACAGAATATTTTTGGAATATACGGAGACGTACACACAGGTCAGTTGTTGGCCTGTTTATATTTCCGGGCAAACGAGAGTTATTGATATTTATAAGTGATGTATCACTGACTTATTTCGTCTCTATTTCTGGTTACATACTCGATGCTACTAAGCAACGTATACCCCTCATTTCTCCTGATAGGATATAGTGGTTTTTTTTAATAATATTCAGTGACAAGACGAATATGTCGTGCGCCTGGTGTTAATCGACATGCTTATCCGTTACAGTTGTCACACAGATCTTTAAATTGCTAATATCTGAGGGGTACTGCCACTGCGCCCGTCACCCTGAGACGTAAGTAGATAAGTTCCATGCGCCTGTAATTCCACCAGCAAAACCGGAACGCAGTTATGCTGACATTACCGTTTAGCTGGAAATAGGTAAGGTGGCAGTACTTCCCAGGACGAACCTATTCACTAGGAGCTCTACTGTTGTATGTATTAATCTATACCTGTCCAAGACGTGGTCGTGGTACAGTGACGACGGGTGCAAACTCGACTTCCAAGTTAATATTACGCCTTGCGCCTTTTCCTACTCCATTTTCGGCTACGCAATAGTATGTACCGCGGTCTTCTTTGTGGACGGATGCTATCTTTAGAATGTTGCCTCTGAAAAAAAAAAATCACATTTTACACGTAGGTATTTAACTGCCCATGTGGCCGAACGGTTACGATGCTAATCTGCCACGTACAGCAGCTTGATTTTGATTGCCTCTCCCGATCGGAAACTGCGTCTTTTCCGAGTCGAGGCGCATAATTGCGATTCACAACTGGCCGATTGGAAACTTTTGACATTTCTAACCGGAACAATAGCTGATTTAACTCACAAATTAAAAAGACATAGTAGGAATCAGGTTCATCTTCTCGCTCAGAAACTCATCTGATTTCAAGACTACCTGATCGGATGGATTCGGGTTTGAATCAAAATCAGGGCGCAGATCTCGGATTCGATTCCTGCGCTGGGTGAAATATTTGTATTTCCTTTAATTTTCTCGTGTGTTTGGGTTTAATTTTTGGTTGTCTAAGTGTATTTCAGCGCAACCGCGATACAGGGTTTCTGTAGTACGGTGCTATGTGTGTGTGCGCGTCACTAGTGTGTGCATTATTATTATTTTTCAATTAAAACATAGTTTTATACTTTCATCACACTTGCTCGTAAACAGTGTCATGGCATGCAGACAAAGTCGACAGTAATGTCCTAATTTATGCCCACGGGCTTTTTCATTATTTTATCGCCCGGTGATATTTTAGGTCAAGATTTAAAAAAAATAAAAAATCTGGACGAATATTTCGCATAAACTTAAAGTATAAAAAAACGAAACATTGTAATTTAACTATATTTTACTAAATTTACTTTGTGATATCAAATTCTGGAGCATTATTAAATTTAAAAAAAAACGTAAAGATCGCCATTTGCAAAACCCGTAAATGTTGTGTTGTGAAGCGATAATTTTATTCATACATCAAAACTGCCTCCGCGGCCGAACGGTTACTGCCACGCAGAGGTCCCAGGGTCGATTCCTGGGCCAGGAGAAATAGCAGTATGGCCTACAATTATTTCTCTCGTGAGTCTGGGCGTAATTTGTGGTTGTCTATGTGTGTGTCCATGGCACCCGCGACACAGGGTTTTCCTAGTGCGGGGCTATGTTGAGTGTGTGCGTTATTTATTTATTTATTATACAAGAAATAAATTATTATAAAAGGTGTTTAATTAAGATAATATACAGGTAAGGTAAAAAAGACAATAAAAGCTTAACTACTAGAAAGTAAAACTAGGCTAAACTACTTTTTAAATTATATGAATAAAATTGGGTCCCCGCGGCAAGGTGCCCAAGATGCTGGTAGCGTTCCCCCTTTGTATTGCTATGCTAATGCGTTGGGCAAGGTAGCTGCCGGCCCTTGGGTTTCCCAGAAAGTGTATCTCTATTATCATTGTATCTCTTGCCTCGCAAATGTGATGAAAAACATTGTATTTAGCAGGGCGGTAAAAATTACAAACTTTGAGTCATTAAAGCCTTTCTAACAATGTACTATTATCTGCGAGTACAACAGTTTCCGTAGCTGTAAACTTACTGTTACCTCTTATGGTATGTCAACTAAATTAATTAGTAGAACCTTTCTACGAATGTCAGATTAATTGCAGAGCGTTTAACTCATTAGGTTACGTACTATACCATATTTACGGAATAATCACCTAGACATCCTAAACGATTACACCCTGTATAAAAAAGGTAGATATACCTATTACTAAGAACATACATTTAAGAATACAATATCAGATACGTTAAGTAGTGGATTTTTTTTATAATATCAAGTGACGGGACGAACAATTCGTGCACCTGGTAGTAAGCGACACGCCTATCCAAAACAGTTGCAGTGCCACGCAGAGCTTTAAATCGCAAAGATCGTAGGGACACTGCCACTGCGCCCGTTACCTTGAGACATAAGTTGACAAGTCCCATGTGCCTGTAATTTCACCAATACCCTTCCAAACCAAAATGCAGTAACGCTTACATTACTGTTTGGTGGCAGAAATAGACAAGGTGGCAGTACTTCTCTGGACGTACTGTTTCAGGAGCTCTACTGCTAATGCATGGAGCGACGATATGTATAGGTACTGTGTAAAATATTACCTGTATATAGAACCTCCGGTGGGCAAAATAGCGTTGTTCTCGCGACGCCACGAGATCTTCGGCGGTGGGAAGCCCCCAGCGTAGCATTCCATCTGAGCACCTAAAAGACGAAGTATAGTGTTTGAGACAAAACTGCCGTCCGCTATCTAAACGCGGCAACGTGATAAAATATTGTTTTAAGATAGCCTAAAAAACCATAACTCAGTTTTAGAATATTAAAATTGTTTAATGATATTTCAGATGTGCATCGTTAGAGTAAGTTCCGATAAGTTGCGATTAAAAAAATAAGGAAACTTTCAGACGTCGAAACCGCTAGATTGGTTTACTTCAGCTACTTTCACAGTCTAATGACATACGGCATTTTGCTTTGGGGTAATGCCGCCGATATCAATAGAATCTTTGTCCTGCAGAAACGTGCAGTTAGGGCAATTTACAATCTGGGCCCCAAAGTATCTTTGAGAGATAAGTTTAAGGAAATTAACATTCTTACACTAGCCTCACAGTACATTTATGAAAATGTAATTTATGTTAAAAGGAATAGTAATTTATTTATGAAAAATAGTGACAGACATAACATTAATACGAGGAATAGAAATAAACTAGCTTTTCTTGATAGTCGTCTTCACAAAGTCAAAAAATCATTTAAGGGGCAATGTATACGCTTCTATAACAAGATTCCGGTTGATATACAAAATTTGCCTTTCACGAGGTTTAAAACTATAGTGAAACAAAAACTTTATACTAAAGGTTATTATACAACTTCTGCGTACTTGGATGACAAAAATCCGTGGTAGTAACCCGTTTAGCTCATGGAGGTAGACTCGATCTCTGATGTTTTAAATAAAAAAAAAAAATATTGTAAATGCTATTTACAAAGAGCAACCCCTAGAGTTTCTTGCTCATTCTTCTCAGGGGAATCTGCCTTACGAATGAGCGGTAGAGTTTAACCATTGTGACGATTTCAAGTGTAATAATGCTTACCTATGAAATAAAGATTATTTTGAATTTGAATTTGAATAAGTCGAATACGTTAACTAATTTTTAGTGTTTTTAAAAGAGAATTTTGTAATCTATCTTGTAGGGACACATGTGTATGTTTTCAGCCCTCCGCGTGTGCACAGTCAGTCATCGTCCGTCACGCGCCCGGTTCGGACGATTCCAGCTATATTCGTCGCCATAAGTAGTTCCGAATAAATCTGTGTAAATCTTCTAATTATTTTGTACCGTATACTACCGTATACGAACAATAAAAGTGGACAAGTAAATTATAATGGAGTTTAGACTTTATCTGGAATACCCATAGTGAGCACATTAAATCCGGGTGATTAACAGAATCACCCACCTATGATTCTAAAGTAATAATAAGAGCTTTATTTATCTACATTAAATAATAATTTAGCCTTAAATAACATAATCTGAAGTTACACATGTAGATAAAAAGGCAAGAGTCTCAGCCTGAGCTGTTTTTCAGACTTTACCTTTTTGGTGAAACGCTACATTTAATTCTCTAATATTAATAATATAATAATTCTGACGTGGCTCGACAAGCTCCAGTAAAATGACTAAAGTATACAATTTAAACTTAAAGCTATGATTACATTGTCATAATGGTACCAAATTCACATAAAATATTTCATTTCAAAATACATGAAGTATAGATAAGGATGAACTGCACACATAATAACAATAAATAGTGAAAAATTATAATATATATTATGTATAAATAAATAAATAAATAAAGAACAAAAATAAACATATGCATAAATCCGCTGGACGACACTACATCCAATTACTAGCAGAACTTTGCTTTGTAAGTGGTGATATATACAGCTTAGGGACATTACAGAGGAGTACATCAGTTTGACGCTCTTCACGTACAATTGCAATTGCACAAATTGCACAATGGCAACGCCACCGCCGAATCCACCACGACGATCACAAGCGATCGACGACCTGATGACAGTCACAGTATCTTCGAGAATACCTAATTTTTGAACAGATCAACCTAGACTGTGGTTCATTAGAACGGAAGCACTTTTAACACCATAAAAGTTGAGCGACGGCGCAAAATTCGATCTAGTTGTTTCAAAATTAAATAAAGACACAATCAACGAGCTCTCAGAATTTCTATAATCACCACCTGCTACAAACAATTTACAGCATTAAAAGACAAATTATTAGGAAAGTACCAAGATAGTAACACGCGACAAATAGAAAAACTATTGAACGAGACGGAATTAGGAGAACAAAAACCCTCACAGCTACTTCACCGCACGAAGGACCTCCCACGAAATAAATTCTCATCAGATACCTTGAGTGTTCTATGGCAAGGCCACTTGCCAGCGACCGTCCGAGCTGTACTTGCTGCTGCAGACACAAAAAACTTAGACCAGCTAGCACACGTAGCAGATAAAGTAGGAGAAGCAATGCGTTTAAATCAAGTTGCAGAAGTGCATCAACCGCAACCGAGTACGAGTGCTACAACCAACGATGTAGCTTACATGGTTGCCGAAATAGCAAAGTTGTCAGCGGAAATATAACACCTCAAACGTAGCAGATCCAGAAACCGTAATTTCGGTAGGCGAAACCGTTCAATGTCTCATAGAAGATACGGGACACGGAGCCCATCGACGCAACGACGACACCGTACTGCAGAAACCTCTCCAAATTGGTTATGCTATTATCATTACTAATTCCGTAATAGAGCACAGAAGTGCGAGCAGCCCTGCGCCTGGAAAGACAAGGCGGAAAACTAGGTCGCGGTCCGAGTTGTGGCGGCAGCCGGTTCCGTGTTATCTAACGAACACTCAGAAAAAATTCTTTCGATCCGGTCGGATTCGAACCGACGTCTTCTTGCATACCGTGGCAGACGCTATACCAACTAAGCCACGGAACGAACCAACGGACCTCACGAATTTTTCTGTGTGCTTGCGTCGTGTCTTTGTACTTGGTCTTTCAACGACGAGTAGACAATAAGTTAGGTACTACGACACGTATTCTGAACAAAATGCTGAACCCATTTTGTTACCGACTGTACTTAATTCTTCTAACATGCAATTTAGGGTAATAATTAGATCAGTAGAGTGAAATGTATCAAAAGAGCAATGTTGCACAAGAAGGTGTGAAATTTCTCTTGTATCTAGGTTTTAACAGCGTAAGCAGTCTTGTACTAAATCTCACTGAATACGAAAGATCATTATTACTCCTGTGTTCAAGTAATTTTCAGTCGAAGCTAAATATGGTGCATTTTGTTAAATTTCCAGTAGAAGCTGCATATGGTGTTTTTGGGCCCTTAAATTGTTGCAAGCAAAATTAGACAGTACTGCAATGACGTTACAATTTAAATTAAATGTTTTTGTATTTTATATTTCGTTACATGTCACTACGTTTGTATAGGTTAACGTCGGACATTTTTTTCGTGGTTTTTGTATTAGATCCGACGTCCATTTGTTGGTAGGTCAATGAATTTTGATCATAAATTAATTAATTGAAAGATAAAAAAATTGTATCAATTATTATGTTTCTTAATGTTCATTATTGTGATCTAAATTTTTATATTGGTTTTGATAAACTTCATAATAATTGTATTAATTAATGACACGGCTTGTACACGTGATTAATAATTAGTTAGTTATTATCATTGGGTTCATGTGCTGGAATACTATTATGTAACACCTCTGTTAATTCACATGACACAATGAATAAGTGAATTATGAATTAGACGGTCGGACGATATCGTCGGGATGGCCGGAAGACTGTGGATGAGACTACTCGTAGCACAGGACCGGTTGAGCTGGCGTGCAAAAGAGGAGGCATATACCCAGCGGTGGGTGTCAACGCGCAGAGATGATACTGATTAGGACGTATGTAAATACATAATACTTTCTTATGAAGTCGTATTGGGCATCACAAATTTAAACATCAACTAACTTCTAATCACTTTTTAACCGACTTCAGATTTCTCCGTCAATTGCAGACCGATTTTGAAAATTTTTTTTTGTTTGAAAGGGCGCAGTCTCGTGGTGGTCCCATTATTACCAAGGCAGAATCTGATGAGGGGATCCATGGAAATCGAGGATAATCCTCAGATTTTATAGGCATGCCAGTGTACATACCCAATTTTCCATAAATTGTGGAGCGAATTTGAAAATTCTTTTTTTTGTTTCAAATGGTATACTGTCGAGACGGTCCCTGTTGCCGAGGATGCCGTTCTGGGTTTGTTTCGGATATCACAAATTAAAAAACTATTTTCCGCAAATAAAAGCCGACTCACTTGTGTCACTTGACACAATACATGTATCAACAAATCACCGTCAACATGACAACGAGAAAAAAGTATAAAATGTACAAAGGAGTCCGTAACAGTCCCATTGTCACCAAGAAGAAGCGATCCCCTTATCAGAATCAGATAAGGGGATGGCATGGAAATAAAAAAAGCAAGCAAGTTTTTGAGTTCGGTATTTTTTTTTTCAATGAAAAAGTTTCAGCTGTGAAACACACATCTGCAGTTGGTAAATTTGTAAAAAAAATCAATATACCAGGGGGTCGAGGTTAAACAAAAAAACCCACGTGGTCTACTAGTCAAAAAAGTTTGGGTACCTCTGGCTTTCCTTCCTTCATTTCAATTCTTTCACAAGGAGCTCTACTGATACCATGCTACAAATATGTCCGACGGGAACATTTATATGGTGAATTGTGCCAATGGTGGAATATACTCACTCTCTTCCTCGCTAGTGACAAGCGACCTCGTGGAGTTGTCAGAAATTATTGGAGGTCGTCTCACTTGTAGCTCTACTTCGGCGGTTATCTTGTTGCTTACGGATATTATCACTTGACATTGGTACCAGCCGGCGTCAGTTTCTTGAATGTCTTTTATCTGTAACAAGATTAAATTCATTTTAATAACTACACTCTTTACTATTTCTTTACATACTTTCTTGTATAGTAGTAGTCTTCGGTGAAACACCGACTAAACTTACGTTTGCAAAAAATGTATAGAAAACGTATATTATTAGCTAGCAAGCTGCAGAGAAGGCTCTGCAGCAACACCACCGTAAAGTTGCCTGTTTATCGGTATTTTACAGGATGTATCACGGAGAGTATGCGATGGAATTGCATAATTTGATTCCGCCTTCCCCTTTCCATCATCGGGGGACTAGACGTGGGCTGGGATTCCACCCCTCTGTTGTGGATATTTCCAGGATTTCGCGTTTCGCTTCCACATTTATATGGCGAGTTCCCTGCCTGTGGACGTATTCCTCGAACGGTATAACTTGGACCTTTTCAAGGCGAGAGTGAACAGGCATAATTTAGGTGTGCATGCTACATTGTCGACCTCATCATCACTTTCCATCAGATGAGAGAGGAGGTCAAATGCGCACTTATTTATGATAAAAAAAGCGTCTTAAGAAAGTGTTCAAATACATGAAGTCAACATTTGCTATGGGGGCTACTTTCAAACAGCAAAAAAAAAGATGTTACATAGCAATCGAACCAAATGTATGCAACAGCTGGTTTTTTTGGGATAGCGGTAAAAGGACCGTGGTAGTAAACATTATTTTAACTACCTTTACCTTTTAACTACCTCCGTGGCCGAACGGTTACCGTGCCGGACTGCCACGCAGAGGTCCCAGGTTCGATTCCCGGGCCGAGAGAAATAGTTGTATGGCCTACAATTATTTCTCTCGTGAGTTTGGGTGTAATTTGTGGTTGTCTATGTGTGTGTCCATGGCACCTGCGACACAGGGTTTCCCTAGTGCGGGGCTATGTTGAGTGTGTGCGTTATTTATTTATTTATTTATTATTTCACTATATATTTTTAACTATTAATGCCCGAAATCGAAAGCAAAAACTATTTGTAACTAAATATTCTATTGAATCGCTTGGCTTGAAAATCGCATTTAAATAAATCGATACCAAACTGTTAGATCGTATGCACTAGAATCGATTTTCATAATAATCGAGTCATGCTGTGGAACCTTAGTCGAGAGAAGCCGCAGGATTGCAAGGTATATAGGTAGGTATGTATTGCGCGAAGTTGCCTTTTTTTGTTTAAAAGAGATTGTTTACATCGATAATTTGTAATAAGTATGGAATTACACCAAATTCCGTATTCGCCGTTTCACAATTTTGGGCAGAAATGGGAAAAAACCCTGTTAAAGCCGCGGGTTGGGTTGCCTATCCGTAGTCGGAAATGACATTCTCCAGAAATAACGTTTGGTCGAAATTTCATAACCTCGAAAGTAATTTTGAGAGGAAAACGTTTTTTCTTTTAAACCCAACTTAACCTAACCTAAGCGTATCTTTGCGATAAACATTCAACATATCCTGAAAGAACGACTGTTTCGTTATAATTCGGTTTTCGGTGTACTGAAAAATCGTTCAAACGTTATTTCGGACAAAAAAATTTTCGACTTTGTGATGGGGTTTCCCGCGGATTGATTGCGTATTAGGGATTAGAATTTTTTTCTTACATAACCTATAAAACCTATTAATTTTAAATCCTTCTTCAAATCCTGACACTAAAGATATCGTTCGATTGTGATTCGTAATCGATTACAAAAACTTTAGTTGAAGAACCAAATGAGTTGTTTCCGTACAGCCCTATGCAACTATAGATTATTCACATATCTATCCTTGAAAAATAACCTCACTTTTAAAATAACACTTTTCAAATAAGATATTAATATGTAATTGAAATTAATATTGTTGGAAAAAGTGATGAGATATCAAGTCGAAATCTTCAAAATTTACGTGAAAGTGTTATTCCATTTATTGATTGATTGCTTTAAAATTTTAGCCAAACCGGTTTGTTTACTTTTTTGGCATAATGGTTTGGAACAGAATTTATGCTACAGCGGTCGTAGTCCTGTAGGAAGTATCACAAAATACTTACTGAAAGCGTATAGGTGGCGGAGGCAGCGTCGAATCTCAACGAGAATCTGGAGTCCCTGATGATTAGACCAGAGTTGGTCGACAGGGGTAGAGACTCCGTTGCCTTCATGCGATCGTACTTCACCTGGAAATAAAAAATAGGCTTTAGAGTATAGTCCGGGAATGCAAACTGAATTTATTGACAAATCAAAATTGAGAATTTCGACTTCATGCAGTAATTCCATCGACTAATATTGTCAATAGAGTTACAAGAATTGGAGAGGATGTGGGTTATAATTTTCTGTATCTAATGGAGCAATAAACATTTTTGACGTTACTCCACTTATACCATTCTTCCACGAGGGGTGCAATATATGTTTTTATAAACTTATTCCACTAATTTCAAGATTAAACACAACGAAAAGTTCCTCCATTCTGACAGCAAACATTAAAAAACGCATTATGTAAAAATTGGTATACAATATATTCTGGTTAAATTGGTACTGTGCGCGCGACCTTTTTGAATTTTCGCACATGAGCAACGAACAAGCGAGTCGCGCGTCAAAGCAATCCGCGAGCCATTTCAGAAAAAGTCCATGGGCTCTTTGAAATTTTGATAAGGGTACATGACTAGAAATAGGTAAAGAAATCCTGTTTTGGAGTATGGTCGGGGATTACGAATGTGATCGTGTCGTACGAAATTAACAAATTAAAATGGAAGATTCCGATAGCTGCCTGAAGTTCGGTTTCGACTTCATGCAGTTGTACTTCTCACGCACAGTCCGTCTTGTAGCAGCCATAAGGTGATTGTCGTTTGTTAAAGTATAAATATTCTTAAAATTACACAGGTTCAAAGACTTAAATATTCGTCCAGCTGCTTTGCGCGGATCTCCTCTAAGCCGGAGGTTTATGCCATAATCCGCCATGCGGGTTGGGGACTACAGGTTTTCCAAGGATTGCAAACCTTCTTCGATGTTTTTCTATACCGTTAGCGAGGGTTTATTCTACAAATATATTTCTTGTGTTGTTTAAACGGTAACAAAGATTCGCACGAAGCGTTAAGGAGTCGCGACACGCGTTTCACGGACGCACGTTTACGGCACCGTAAACGCTCGTCATCTGCGCGTACACACCCCGCAGACACGCTGCAGTAAATCGATTAACACGCGCGCAAAAATCGCGTTGCAAGCAAGTACCTTGTACCTATACTCCACTGAAGTTTACACTTAGAATTTCTTAGAATTGCTTCATTTGAAAAACTAACCGAAATTAACATACAAAACTAAAATTAAAAGTATATCTTACCAAAATGCGCGATACATTTGCTACGACGCGCGTTTATGATAGTTTGCAATTTACGCGTATAAAATACGCCGTGTGTATAGCCTCTAACATAAACAATATAGGAAATGAAACTGTTTTTCCGGATTATATTACGCGAACTATTTTTACGCGATTTAAATCCGGAAAAATAGTTTCATTTCCTATGTGTAACAATCGCGAACACCTTAAAAACTCGATACAAACAATATCAATGCTAACGGTCTGTTTTTCCCCAAAGGGCTCGTTCAGAGTGCAGGCGCGGGCGCGGCGGCGGGTGCAGGCGCACGGGTCTTGGCGTCTTCCCTTTTACAGTGACGAAGCAGCTACGAGCGGCTACATCCGCACGTCGAAATCGCAAACAGACGCTAGACCAAGCAGCCACAGAAATACCTAGCGTCTACGTACATTTGATTTACACGCACCCGCGCCCGCCGCCACTCTGAATAAGGCCTAACACAGTTAATCATCTGTGCTTAACTGTTTATATGTTCATTTAAGTCCATAGTTGAACTATGTATGGGTCCTATTGACTTTTGAATAACCAATTAACCCATTTTCAAATATTCCAATCAATTTGATTGAATAAAAATTATTAAGAATGAAAATATAATTGGACTAATCGGTGGTAACAGTAGAACAAATAAGGGTGGTGCTGTATGAAACAATGTATTTGTCAATGATATTAAAGGGGGATACACGATTAGAAATGTGATACGGGTTTTAAGAGGGTTGTTTTTTAGAGTTATAAAACGACACTTTGGTAGCGTTAGGGTTCTTTTTGCGTGCTTTTTAGTAGCAGTAGAGCTTCTTGTGAAAGAGTTCCTCCAGGGAACTAATGCCACCTATTTTTGCCGCCATGCAGTAATGAGAGCATTACTGCATTTCGGTTTTGAAGGGTAAGGAAGGGTGCCACAACTAGAGCCACATGTGTGGCACTGCGGCTACACTCATGTTCTTGTTAACCAATGGCTTTTAAGGAAAAGTTCATATTTTTAGTATAAACAAAAATATATATATTCTACTGCAAACGCAAAACATCTGATTCGCTTTTAGTAGCGGTAGAGCACCTTACCTATTTCTGCAGCCAAGCAGTTATGTCAGCATTACTGTGTTCCGGTTTTGAAGGGTAAGGGTGCTGGTGAAATTACAGCCACATGGGACTTGTCAACTAATGTCTCAGGGTGACAGGCGCAGTAGTAAAAAGGACGTAAAAAGTACATGGACGTAAAGTTTTTTTTTTAAATAGATTTTTGTCTCACTGACTGCCTGAGCCAGGAATACTACGATAATTATGTTAACAGTGCTGTGGATCAATTCTGTGCTATAGTTGGAATAAAAAAACGCATCTCATACGACATTCAAAAAGATCCCGCAGGTCATTGTCCCGTCCTATTCACCATTCAACCGTGAACTAGTAATCATTTAGGGGACACGCACAACTGAGTCATAGGGGACAATTGTATAAATCTATTATTAATGCATTGAACGAAAGGAAGCTGTAATATATTTTTGATTTCTTTAAGGTCCGTTTGCAATGTGGGATAGGTCATGATATTGTTGTAGTCACGTTTTTAACTGTCGAAGTTAAAACTTTAACGAAGTTAAATTGTATTGTTTCTATGAATTATCAATACAAATACAAACAAAAGACATTGTACAACATGCGGCTTTATAATAATAATAATAATAACGCACACACTCAACATACTGCACTAGGGAAACCCTGTGTCGCGGGTGCCATGGACACACACATAGACAACCACTAATTACACCCAAACTCACGAGAGAAATAATTGTAGGCCATACAAATATTTCCCCCGGCCCGGGAATCGAACCTGGGACCCCTGCGTGGCAGTCCGGCATGGTAGCCGTTCGGCCACAGTGGCAGTTAAATAAAAAAAATGATGTCTAAACAGTATTGTTTTCCAGTAAACTTTGATATGACAGGACAAATTTTAAGTTATTTTTATAATACCAAGTGAAGGGACGAACAAGCCGTGCGCCTGATGGTAAGCGACACACCTGTCCATAGCAGCTGCACTGCCACTCAAATCTGATCGCAAACATCTGAGGGGCACCCTGAGACATAAGTACATAAGACCCATGTGCCTGTAATTTCACCAGCCCCCTTAAACTTCAAAACCGGAATGCAGTAATGCTCACATTACTGCTTGGCAGCAGTACTTCCGTGGACGAACTTTCTCACAAGGAGCTCTACTGCTTCTAATTAAATATGACCATAATTATTATAGGAATAAATTGTGCACTTTTTTAAATAAACGATATTTTATGTTTGATATATATATATTAATTGTTCCATCAATATATGTTGATCTGTGTTAAATTATAAATGAACTGTATTCAAAGTAACAATATTATATAAATATATGGGTACCCACTATACATAGGGTTCACAGACTAGAATAAAGCTTTCGATTCTATAAACCACAATCATATCTGGATTTATCTGGATCTGGAGCTTTACAAAAGCAGGGTATTGAAAAGAAATATATAAGGATCATAAAGAACATATACTCTAACAGCACAGCACAGGTGAAATTAGAATCTCTAGGAAAACCATTTCAGATACAGAAAGGAGTCCGACAAGGTGACCCACTCTCGCCCAAACTCTTCTCAGCGGTTCTTGGGAATATCTTCAAAAACCTCGAATGGAATGATAGAGGCTTAAATATAATCGGTGAAACACTGAACAATATAAGGTTTGCTGACGACTTACTAATATTTTCCCACGATCCTGTTTCCCTACAATACATGCTCGAAGTAGAAGAAGGAGGCTTAATCATTAATAAAGCAAAAACCAAAGTAATGACTAATAGATCTGAAAAGCCTCTAACTGTAGATGGAGAATGCATTGAATATGTAGGATCCTACATTTATCTGGGCCAATTAGTGTCATTGAGTGATCAAACTGAGCAAGAACTAAAAAGAAGAGTTACCAACTCTTGGAACCGATATTGATCACTCAAAGACATATTTAAAAACAAGCGCTATCCAGTGACAGCAAAGAGTCTTTAACATTTGCATCCTCCCAGTTTTGACCTATGGATGCCAAACGTGGGCATTGACTAGTAAACACCATCAGAAACTCACAACCTGTCAAAGACGAATGGAGAGAAGTATGCTGAGATTCTCTCTAAGAGACAAAAAGAGAGCTACAGACATACGAAGGACCACTAAATTCGAGGATATCACCACATAAAGCAAAACACTCAAGTGGAAGTGGACTGGCCTTAAAAGATGGTCCGACGACCATCACGACGACAGCCGGGGGAGACCTATGCGTGTTCAGGATGCGCTGGTGTTATAGTTTAAGTAATTTATGAATATAATTGAATGTCAGTATAGTATAGTGTAATAAAAAGAATATCGAATTTGACCATAAATAACTATCTCATAACAATGTACACACGCCAGCACATCAAGCTACACATTGACGTATCTTGTTCCGTTGTACTGGAGGCGATTTTCCAACAAAAATGTGCAGTCTGATGTGCCGTTGTCCGTACACGAACTAAAAACTATGAATACGGGATAGTTCGATTTGTGGATGCGGCCTGGACGAAGGCACTCCAGATCATATATTTTTAGCTGCTCTGCCAGAACTTGTTCTATTTATGATTGTCTTCGACTTTCCATTCCTCGACCCATAAATTTCAAGTTCCTGTTACCCTTATTTACAAAATACGTTAAAATTCATATCTGATTTAGGGTCGTATTCTAGAACTCTATTCAATGCTCAAGTCAGGATTGCACTGGAAATACGATCCTAATGGCAGGGACTTGAGTATGATATCAAGTGCTTTAAACCATACTCAAATCCTGACTTGAGCATTGAGTAGAGTTCTAGAATACGACTCTTAGTTACTTAAATAATGAACTTATATATTTAAACATCTCTAATCTAAGTGTTGGTATATTGTGATGTTTTGTTTTGTTCCAGGAGCCAGAATAGACATACATGGCAGCGTCTTAACACTTTGTATCACCGGCTTTAAACAAGTAGTAAATTCCCATGACTGACTAGACATTGGCCAAATTCTTCAAGAAAAGCCAGAAACTTAAAAATAGAATAGAGCAATTAGAGGCTTAACCCCTTCTTACCCATAACACAGGATAGTCTTGAGCGTAGTGGACAGAGCAATCCAAGTCTACTTGTCCTCCGATGTCTCGGATCTGCTCCTGGGTTATGTGGGAGATTGTTGGAGTCCGTTGTGCCCAAGCTGTCAAAGCAAAAAGATTAAGTTCATAAATAGTAAATAGCACCTGGAATCAGACTCAGAACAATGCTCATATTCAATACAAGTAGTGAATGGTCAATTGACCAATGACAGGGTATTAATTAATAGGCGGTCTTCAAATGCTGTTCCTTTTGTCACTAGAAAAAATTAGATTTCAACATCAGAACAAGGTCAAAATCCAATATATGCCCCTTGGCTAGCCACAGGTCTCCTCTAAAAGGATGTTTAGACCAGTCCACCATTCTGACTCAATGAGGGTTGTTAATCTTCTACAAAATTATACAGATCTTTTCTAAATAGATTAAAAAAACATACAGGCTTCATCATGAAGTTTCGTTCGCTGATTGGGAGATGAACTGGCTATTACACAGTCACAAATGTAATCCAAACAATAATTCTGCTGTATGTTGTTAAGGAGTTTAGATAGTCTGCAGACTATCCTGGTTGATGCATCAGATCAGTAATCATATTAATTATAATAAATATGGGCATATGAAGTTCCATACCAGGAAGGCACATGACACAACCACAGGACTTTAAATCTGTCGGAGCTAGGAAAGTCTTTCAGTTCTTCAATACTGTCGGCCTTGGCTTAGCACTGTAATTAGTGATCACAATAGATCAGTCAATGGTCGCAGTGATGAGGGGATGCATAGGCCCTAAATGAAGCCACCCTAATAATAATAATGCATAGGAAATGAAACAATTTTTCTGGGTTTAAATCGCGTATATATGTTATTTCAAACAAACCGACATTTGACTGAAAAAGCAAATATATGCGATTTAAATCCAGAAAAATAGTTTCATTTCCTGTGTGTAACAATCTTGAAAACCTAAGAACTCGATAATACTAATGCACTCAGAAACTCTGTATCGCAGGATCTGTATCGCTGTATCATTGGACACACACATAGACAACCACAAATTACAGCCAAACTCATGAGAAATATATGATGGCCATACAAATATTTCCCTCTGGCCCAGGAATCAAATTAGTCCAACATGGTAAATGTTCGGCCACAAACTAGACAGGTCAAATGACAGGCGCATGGGACTTGTCGACTTATGTCTCAAGGTGACGGGTGCAGTGGCAGTGCCCCTCAGATCTTTGCGATTTAAAGCTCTGAGTGGCACTGCAACTGTTATCCACGGGCATGTAGCTTTCCATCAGGCACACAATTTGTTCGTCCCATCACTTGATATTATAAAAAAAAATAGGGCTGAACGTCGAGTTGTGGACAACAGCTCCTTACCATACCATTTGGTGCCCATAAGGGAAAAAAATGCAAGCGGTCTAAAAAACTTAACGTCCCAATGTTCAGCACGGGTCTCCTCAGTAATTAAATAGAACAAAATTAACTACCCTGCTTAAGTACATGCGGCGTCCAGTAAAAAAAACAGTTGCACTTAAAAATCACTTTTAATACAAAATGACACTAAATTAGGGTTAACTAATGACTGCCATAAAGTGTTTTAAAGGGTAATTTATAGTTTATATCCCTTTATCAGCTTTTTGAATCACCCCTCTTCTTCCTGTACTAACCCATTCAACCGAAAAATTTGATCGATTTGCAGTCTTAACAACGCTAACGCGGTTTCATGGCATGTTGTCATTTGTTTTGCTAAATTATACACATTAGAACTTTTTTAAACAAGGAAAACTGTGTTATTGTAGACACCTGGATAAGTAAAAATGTATATTTCAGTAAGAAATGGATGAAAACATAACTTATTTCGTGCAAAAACCGTTAGTTTTTTGGCGAATATTACCAAAGATATATTCTTAAAAAAACTAACACTGATGTGTTTACGCAAACTCGGTAGGTACTAACGAGTTGCGCTGTTTAAAATTATGATAATATTCGCAAAATCACTGAAAGAAATTTGGGTGTGTCTCGCGAGTATGAAAGAGCTGAGAAGCGTAAACAATAAGATCGACACCGCACATGTAAACTAGCAAAACACGTTAACACTATGAGCTTATACAAACTAACGCTATAAAACAGTGTATAGAAATAAATGAATGCTATAATTGACTCACCAATTGTCGTAAAACACAGTAAAATAGTTAAAAACTCGAAATTAAACGCCATGATGAAATAGAGTGCACCGCCACACCTCACTGCAATCTTTACTGATCTAATTTCAATCGTTCATTTCAATTAGTCGAATGACATTGAGCGAATGGAAAGGTCTATCAAAATGGTGTTGCTATTTAAGAAATTAGAATTCCTTACATTTGTCGACGAGTCGTTGATCAAAAATTCATTAAAAACTGTTTTTCGAAGGATGTTTATACAAATTAATACTGTAATAATATATCTCGGATAACTTTTTTATAGAAAAAATCGACCTCATTCATCCCCTAGTTTGCCAACACAATGAAACATTTTCTTCAAATTTGGATAATAATAATTGCTCTTGATCACACTGAGGTATTGCCTTTCCAACAAAAAAGAATCGCGTAACATACGCACAAAAAATACAATCTAATTCAGAGCAATTTTGCTTTTTTGAAGTCAATTAAATACTCAAAACACTAGGAGCAGACATAGATCACAAATATGGTACTTAAATCATAACATTCGACATTTCTCACTGCAAAGGTATATATTACATTACATTAATCGAATAAAAAAAGGAAAATATTGAATGAAAGTAAAATAAATTTTAGTTAATTTGCTTAGTTTTTACGATACCATGCAAATATGGCTACCCGTCAAACGTCAAAAAGGAATGAATGAAACCGGACCACGCGAAGCTCAACCCCAAAGCCAAAGTGTACATATACAATGTTACCTAGTAACTCTTATTAGTTTGTGATGTTACCTATCGGTCATGCTTGAGATATCGTAAAAAAACATAAACCAATTTTAGAATTGAAATTGTTTATTGATATTTCAACTATGCATCGTTAGGGTAAGTTATTGTGTGTTAACTAATTTTAACTGTTTATGTAAGTAAGAGAATATTTAAAACGGTTATTCGACTACTTGTCACTTAGCCGCGTTTTAGGGTTCATGAGTTTTTTAAACATGTTTTGAAGTAAATCGCTGTCTTTGCGTAATATACTTTTGGGTTCTGAAAACAATTATTTAAAAATTGTGTGGCCAATAAAAAAAAGGAGATGCCAGTGCCATTTATTGATTAACGACGTCCATCTTCACGTATATGCAAAGCAAAATGGTAAAAGTAATCTAAGGTCATAAGAGCATATAGTTTCTCTGTTCTAAACGATTATGTAACTATAATCTGTCGATAAAAATAGGAGCTAAAAGAGCGCGTCGCTTCTCTATGACGAAAATACAGCGTCCACGAAGTACTGCATTTTTTGTCTATAGTTGCCTGTTAGTAAATAGCGAACTTGATAGGCATGCTTATGTCAAATGTTCGAATGTTTTGAAATATTTTTTATGTAATCGATAAATTGAATCAATGTGATCATAGTTTGTAAGTCAATGGATCATAGTGAAAAAAATAGAAAATTGGCAATTAATGTAAAAAATAGGCTTATGTATGGAACGTAATTCCATCCTTGGTTAGACTGGACGCAGCAGAGATTTTTTTTGCAAGTTTGTTTAGCGCAAGACGACATGTTTCGTGGAGTACTTGACGCGGTAAATTCGATAATGGTAATGATAAAACATCGATTTGAAAGTAGTGTTTATAGTGCGACAATTGTTTTGTGCTTGTACCTTGACAGAGGGGATTGCCTATCGATGACGCCTCCAGTCCTATATGCTCTAAGTCTGAGGTAAAAATGTTCACAGTCGACCCTCCGGCCAGAGACAACTAAATTCGCTATTTCCAAACGTTGTGTCTCGACCGTCTCTCTATTACATTTTACATTTTTTTTTTCTTGGAAGCTATACCAATGAGAAGTAATTTCTGGTCTCAAATTACGGAATTTCCTGTACAGGAATACCATGTAGTACTAAGTACTAAGAATACCAGGGTAACGATAACTCTGAGGGCATAACCCAAAACAAAACCAACAAAAAAGAAATGTTCGTTTCTTAAATTGACCCAAATCGGGAATCGAACCAGGAATCTTCTCATCAAGCACCCATGGTACTAACCGCTGTACCACCAAAGAGTATAAGTACATCTCGTAATCTGAACCCAAACACGCGCCACAGGCCAAGCCCGACCCTACCGCAGGTGGAGTACAGCGTACCATACCATGCCCTATATTACTTACTGTATTATATTAATTTACATAGTTTTAGTGGTACAAATTTTCATACTCTATTTCAACCCGTTTAAGATTTATTTTTGTGACAAAAAGTATCTATGGTCTCATCCCTCTCTTCACCAAAATTCTATCAATTTGCTTCACCAGTTTAGGCATGAAAACGTAACACAGAGAGTTGCTTTTACATTTATAATATTATTTAATTTGGATAAGCCCGACTTTTTTTTAATTTTGCTCGTGCATTCTACGCGTAAAATGAAGGTCATATTCGTGAAATAAATTAGTGTTTTGTTTTGCAAGAACATAATATAAACGATTGTAAGTTGTAAGAATGCACTGTATCGTCAAATCCATTAGTCGTACAAAAAAATGCAAATGGCCGATTTCGATTTTGTCTTTCCACTTAATGGTATTGCCAATATGCATTTGATATTAATAAATTATTGCTGAGTCGCTTATAAATTTCTGTTAAGGCGTGTCACCGGAGGAGAAGCGGGACAGACTCTTTTGCAAGACAAAATGTTTTAGGTATTCACTTCTAAGTTTATAACGGTCTCTCAAAAAATATGCGGTACACCTATAACGTCCGAAGAATGTGCCAATGTGTTACATGATAGGGTGCTTTATCCAATCATAAACAGACTAAAATAATTTTTTCAAGAATATCTAAACTTTGTACATAATTTTTATATGGAGATATTTCTCTTGAAATACTCCGAGTACTTGCAAAATTTTTGTTTTCAACTGAATATTTATCCCAAAACTTGAAAATTACGAAAAATTTGTGAAAATTCTAAATGAAACACAAAGTAAGTAAAATTTTTTTTATTCACATTATAAAACAATATTTGCATACAATTCTACTTATCATAAACATAAATGTTTAATATATTTTGTTATTCTACTCAACACAATTCCACTGCCTATATTATACCTAAGTATGGAGTAAGTGTACTCATTTTTCATCTTTGAAATCTACATGGGAGTAAAATAATAAAAAAATCAAGCCACTGCTGTTACCAAGTTTAAGGGTGCCGAAAGCGCCACGGTGGTGCTACATTAGCGTGTCTTATCCATCCTCCAAGGTCTATAGTGCTTCAGTAATTTGTAATTCACTAGTTGTGGCTACAATCGTGACACACGTGTGTCACGACAGTGGCGCTGCAACTGCGCTCCCGAATATTGTATGAAAATTAGTAGTACAGCTGCAGCGCCACAGTGGCGCCACTACAGCGCTTCTACAAGCGTCTAATTTAAAGGTGCCGTCCTTGTCTGATATTACCGTTTCTAACAAGAAATCATTTGCAAAGATAAACAGTTCATATTTTTAATTAACTAGTTTAACAAATCCTGAAAACAAAATCAAAGATAAAAATATGTGTCAAAGCAATGAAACAAAAAACATAGAAAAAATTGAACATAGAAAATGAAACTACTTTTTCTGATCACGGCAGCCGTGACCATGGGACCATGGGAAGGCCCGAAACGTTAGTTTGTTTGAAAAAACAAATATAATATACTATTTAGACCCGAAAAAATATTTCCATTTCTGAAATTCTACATAGTTTTATTTACAGTAACGAAGACAATTAGTCTAATAATTGATATAATCCCAGTTTACAATTTTTGTTAAGTCGAACTTCGTCTGTCACAAGATAACGTGATTCGGTAAAACGTGATTCGGCGTATCGTGACTTGGCGTAACGGGAATAAGCTTTTTACCGTCACTACTCTTTCATTTAATTTTTGGAAATGGAACTCGGATACGGGACACATTTTATTTTTATCTAATCAAAGATTGAAAATGAATATAAATATCACAATTCAGTAAGATAAAAGTCTAAAGGCTAGAGACAAATTCAATATAAATTACCTGATAGAAGTTCTACACGCGAAACTTTGCTCGATTGTCAGAATGGAGCATTTCTTGCATCTATTTATGACGTTACAATGTTGTTTTTTAGTTAACTTGCCGCGGTCCAAACTAATTGCGCGCGAGTAACTTTAGTCGAGTAATTTCTGTTTAATTTATTCAAACGGTGCACCTGACAATATCTCTACGTAATAATTATTTTGTCGATATTTATTCTATAATTATAAACCTATTTGAGCCACGTTCTGTACAATATTCTTTATTTTATGCGTATATTTGTTCAAAATATTAATTTATTGTTTTGGTGCCAACATTTTTCTTAAATCTATGTCTATAAAAACATAGTAACATTTTTTCCGTCCTTGTTTTTAATTATCTAAGAAATAAAATGTCAATGTAATGTCAAAGGGTAGCCATCTGGAACATATCTTTGATTATCAAAATGTATAAGTAAAAGAATAAAACAGTGCAAACGATTATTGAAGTTTACATATTTTAATTACGAAAATTATATAAAAAACTGATTAGTTACATTTGGTATGTGTTGCAGAATTATTAAGAAAGTGTGTCGAAAGCGAATACCTGACCTACCATTTCCGGTTTTTAAACTTGTTTTTATGTTATTGCAACTTATGTTTTATTTTTACTTCCTTTAGGATGTAATAATTCCCGTCACCGTTTGTTTTGCCTACACCTTGGTATGCTATTAAAGAGCGATGATATATTAGTACTAAGGACACTTTCAAATTTGACGCTTATAAAAGTGCTATAGTGGTGCTATTGTGGCACTGCAGCCGCGCCTCTATTAATTTTCATACAATACTCAGGGTCGTATTCTAGAACTCTACTCAATGCTCAAGTCAGGATTTGAGTATGGTTTAAAGCACTCGAAATCATTCTCAAGTCCCTGCCATTAGGGTCGTATTTCCAGTGCTTGTGTTTCCATTGCAATCCTGACTTGTACATCGAGTAGCGTTCTAGAATACGACCCTTAGAGACGCAGTTATATCGCAACTGTCGTGACATGCGGGCGTTACTTTTGTAGTTACAATTACTACAGGCGTGCGGCTTTCGAGTCACAGTGGCGCCACTGTAGCGCTTCTACAAGCTACTAATTTAAAGGCGCCCTAAGGAGCTTTGCACCGAGCACAGTGCGAGATTATGGACTATAACAGAATGAAAAACGTGTCAACACTCCCTTTTATCAATTTCCAAGTAGATATCTTGAGTGATTGTGACCGTCTCGGACGGCAAGAAAAATTCAAAACTGTTTTCTTGTATTATTTTTGAAGTATGTATTTGAAACCTAGGCAGTTAACTGTTCTAGTTGTCTGACTTAATTGATTGTGAGTATATTATAATTTTGATTTCTATTTAAAACATGAATAGAATATGGAATATAATATGTATACGGCCAATATACAAAACGCAATCTTCAGTGCTTGATGTAGATAGTACAGCCTGCAATAAAAGATAAAAATTAGTAATCACAATAGTACATTGTGTTAAGGGCGGTAAATATGGAATTACGAACGAGACTTTATTAGAAACTCGAAGACTTTTCGAGTCGAGGTTCGAAAATCTCGTACTACTCGTGAAACATGCAATGTTTTTTTGTCACACGTAACTAGTATGATTGCATGCTGGCTAACTTGATTATAATGTCCCAAAAAAACCTTGGGCTATTTCTTCTTATTACAGCCTTGGTTATCATCAAAGGACTAGCGACTTTTTCGCCAAATTAGAGATAACGTTCTCCTACTGAGCTACCTACACGGAACGAGTTACCAGACCTTACTTATTTCTCTTGATGGGTTACCTATCAGTAGTCCGAAATCACTTTTCCAGAAATAACGTTTGGTCGAATTTTCATAACCTCGAAAGTAATTTTGAGAGGAATATGTTTTTTCTTTTAAAACTAACTTAACCTAACCTAACCGTTTCTTTGTGATAAACATCCGACATATCCTGAAAGTACAATGGTTTCGTTGTAATTCGGTTTTCGTTACCCTCATGATGCCCGTTACAAATCTTTGATTATGGTTTTAACGGCTGTTTTGCCATAGCACTACCTATGAAAAACCTATGAATTTTTTTCTTAACTCAGCCAAGTACTTTTACAGCTACCAGCGGCGGACAAAAGATGTCGCTTTATTAATTAGAAAATATATTTCATTGAATATCACGATGTTTTTGCTACCACTTTTTTGTGAAAATAAAATAATAAATAAATAAATAATGCACACACTCATAGCCCCACATATGGACAACCACAAATTATCGTGGCAGCCCAGCATGGTAACCGTTCGGCCACGGAAGCAATCAATATACTCCACTAGTCTGTTATTACCTTTCATACAAAGACAATTTATTAAGTACTTTCATTTTATACCTTTTCCATTTTATCTTCGCTTGGGGCAACGTATCATCGCTTTCCTTGAACAGGTATCGCCTGATGCCGATCAGGTACTCGTCGAAGTATTCACTCCACACAATATCGGCCATACTAAAGGGGAACAACTGAAAAAGACATAAGTTACGTTTGATGCAGGTCCTGGAAATTAGTTTTCAATAAAAAAATAAGTGCGCATTTGACCTTCATCTCACCTGATGGAAAGTGGCAATGAGGTCGATGATATAGCATGCACATTAAAATATTAATTTATATATAATTATATTATAATTTGTATTAAGATTTTCTTTTTGTTACTAGTCATAAGAAAATCAGATCAAATAAATATTATTATCTTTCTTTCTTTCTTTCTTAAATAATGCCTATTCGCTCTTTCCTTAAATAGGCCTAAGTTATAATGTTCAGGGAATACCATTCCTTAGCTCGCCATTTAAACGTGGAAGCAAAACACTTCAAGAGAATCCTTGGAATACCCACAACGTAGGAGTGGAAACGCAGCCTACGTCTAGTCCCCCGATTTTGGAAGGATGATGATGCATGATGGGAAGTGGAAAGAAACTTGGAAGGTAAGTGTTATTTTCTTTTATGATACCAAGTGAAGGGACGAACAAGTCTGTTGGTAAGCGACACGCCTGTCCATAATACACTTCCGGACACGTAAGTCGAGCCACCTTGCATTTTCAGATTAATTGGCCTAAGCTTAAACAATGTTTGATTGATCGAAAACTACTAAGCTGTTTTGAAATTGGTATACTAAACGTCATTTCCATGAGTCCTTGTTGAAAATTTGAATTTAGAAAACCGGGAAAAACTGTTTTCTTCAGTGATAACAATACTTTTGTATTCAGCCCTTTAACAATAAAAATGCAAGGTGGCTCGATTTACGTGTCCGGGAGTATAGTTGCAGTATCATTCAGTGCTTTAAATCACAAAGATCTGAGGGGCACTGCCACTGGGACACCGCCACCATGAGACATAAGTTGACAAGTCCCATGTGCCTGTAATTTCACCGGCACTACTACACCTCCTTACCGCCAGTTCCTCTTTGGACGAACTCTTTCACAAGGACCTCTACGGTTGCTATATGTGATGTTCTAACCATGCTACAGCTTCATATCAATAAACAGTTATTATTAATTTAACATACCTTTTTATCGACATCACTAATACTGTCCCATAGCCGTCGCGTATGTTGATTGCAGAACTTTATTTCTCGAGTACAGAAATAACTTATTACTGTCGAAAATTTGTGGATCTTTTTGTAAACTTTAAGCATTCTGAAAAGTAAAAAAGGCTCATTAGAGAATTTCAAGTTTTGCCTCTTTTTTAATTAAAAAATAAGGGCATATTTGGTCTCCGTCTCACCTGATGGAAAGTATTGATAAGGTCGACGATGGAGCATCCTCACCTAAATAATGGCTATTCACTCTCACCTTGAAAAGGCCCTAGTTATACCGTTCGGGGAATAAATTTACAGGGAATTCCTTTCCATGGCTATATGTGGATATTATATATGAAACGCTTCATATATAATATCCACAACATAAGGGTGGAACCCCAGCCTACCTACGTCTAATCTCCGATGATGGAAAGGGGATTATGGAATTAAATTATGTAATGTGTCTCGTCTGTTTTCTGTTTGATCAGTGTTCGCTCTTTAATTATAATAATACCCTAAGCGAAAATTGTTCTATTGTACGTAATATTTATGTTTTAAAACCATTGACTTACAAATAAATGGACGACGGGTCTAATACAAAAACCACGAAAAAAATGTCCCAAGTCAACCTATTTAAACGTAGTGACATGTCAAGGAATATGAAAAAGCTAAAACGTTGAATTTAAATTGTAATGTCATCGCAGTACTGTCTAATTTTGCTTGCTTCGCTGTCAATCGAACAAACGAAGACTAGAGCGTGAATGACGCTCTGTATACGATTTTAACGCCCTATAAGTTCGGACACTTTTTAGCGCGGATCCGACGTCCATATAATTGTAAGTCAATGTTTAAAACATTTTTATTTCATTTGGGTAGAGCTTATGAGGGGAACTTGTCCTCTATCGCTCTATTATTGAAGTGACAATATACTTACTTAGGTTGCTTTCCAATACATAACGCAAGCCCGTCGACTAACGCCGCTGGTATCAAATGCAGAAACAGCACATATATTCTGTACATTAACGGAGACGGTGTCAGGGTAAGGGACATGTACCTGAAATGAGATTGATTATCATGTATTATTATGTAAATGATATTAGAAACTAATATGTTTGTTGTATGTGTGTGATATAATTATTTTAGGAAATAAAAAAGTTGTCGAATAGCAGGAGCGAGCGAAACCAGCGGAAATATCTTGCCATTCATCAAGCTACACGATTTCCGAACGAAATTACTCGGTCATTTCTCATCTCATCGTATATGAAGATGTCCACTGCTGAACATAGGCCTTCCCCAAAGATTTCCAGACCAGTCGAGCGGACGCGACGTGCTTCCATCGGTTACCCGCCACCCTTGCCATCCGTCCATCTAGTGGGGGGCCGTCCCACTGAACACCACCATGATATTAAATTATTTCTAGTGAAGAAGTGAATTTCTCACAGATGGCGATAAGGCAAAAAGTCGTTAAAAACCAAAAACTAAGACCTGCATGAAACACATAGCAAAATTTGTAAAGTCCGCTAGTTCGTTCCGTGGCTTAGTTGGCATAGCGTCTAGCACGGTTTGCGTAAAGACGTTGGTCCGAATCCAGCTGAATCGAAGGAATTGGTTTCTAAATGTTCGATCTTTCGATATCTGCCACATGCCACGGAACTTGTTGTAAGTCAGACTATCATTTTTGGCTTTTTAATTTAAATATTTTTGCAATGTCGCTTTTTTTTTGGCAAAAAAATCCCCAAGTTGTGGTAAAATTCAAGTTTCTTGCTTCAAACTTAATTTATAAATTTAACAACATTCCGCTTGATTCTGTAAACTTCTTTTTGCCTCCTAGGAATAAATGTCGACATCAATTTAAATTGAAGGATCATGTAAGTTGTTGGTAAATTGTCAAGTTTTACATATGATCTGAACGAACACAAAGAATCGACTGACCTTAAGACAGCAACTAGCGCTTACTATGCGTATACTCATGCCTGGCCTAGCTATGGTGTTGCGTTGTGGGGCAACAGCACTAACGCAAAAAAGTTTTTGCGTTACAGAAGAAATGTATTCGCATACTCGCTAATATAGACTCGTTTACCAGCTTCCAATCGTATTTCATCAAATATAATATCTTGAAATTTTACAAATGTGTCCTATTGTCAAGAATAATTTGGATGCATATCCTCTGTATTGTCGTTCAGAAAAATTAAGACCCAAATACAGGCTAGCAACAACAGTTTCAAAACTGCATATGGTGAACTAGGGCCTGTATTCTATGTCAATTAAAATTTATAACGTAGTTACTCCCTGACTTTTTAAAATTGATAAATAGCCTAAAAATATTTAAAAACCAACTTAGTAAACGTGCTACTAATTGCAGGAGTTTTTTAGTGACGAAGAAAATTGTTCATAATGTTATAAAAAAATGCAATCTTAATATGTTATCTGTGTTATAAAAATGTGATATTATAATTATGTAATTTAATAAAATAAATGCAGAATAATTATTACGGAGTAAATAAACGCAATTATTACGAAGATATAATTGACAAATGTTATTATTATACAATACTAAGATAATTTGACGATTAGTTAATAAGTAATTAATTTTTAATTGTTTAAAAAAATGATTTATTTTTAAAATACTTTAAATTTCTATTTGACAATCATTTTAAAATTTAATCATTAGACTTTCTGAATATATTTGCTTACATTTATTTATTTTCATTGTAATAATATTATGATTAATAATGCATATGTTAAAAATTGACACTGCTGCGCCTTTATAGGGTACATGTTTGATACTTTACCAACTACTGTAAGACCTAATGTAACAACACGTTTTGCAATAAACGATATTATTATTATTTAGAATTTCAATGGCATAACTCAGGTCAAAGGTCACCTACGTTACTTCATAGCTCTCGAAAAGCATTTATCTAAAACACTAACGCGACCAGAGTAATTAGATAGATAAAAGTAAAATAAAATTCAGTGCATTTGCCTGTATAGCTTTCGTTAGCCTGTAATGGTGTCCCATGGCTAGGCAAGAGTCTCTTCGTCGCATTTCCAATTTTCTTGTCCGTAGCTATTCCAAGTGCGTCTAGGTTATTTCATAATCTGTGTCTCAGCTGCAGATGGTCACATTGTGCCACCCACTAAGTGGCAAATATGTATATGTCCACCTGCCCTCTGCGTGCATATGACAGATATAGCCACCCAATTTATCCTGCCAGTTTTTTTACCAACGTCAGAGTTTTGGAACGCAGCGAACGTGAAACTTGTAGCTGACATAACTTTGTTGTTAAACGTAGGTTCTGAAGGTCTTCATATAGTTATTATTACTTAGTTTTATTTCTTACCAAACAGCATTGGAGAATGGATTTTTCTCAACTCTAGCTACGTTTTGCGCCATGAAGTCGCCCCACGTGATTCTATTTTCTACAGAGCTCACGTAGTTGAAAATGGGAGGTTCCGGTGGGGGAGAACTGGAAAAATAATCATCTACTAATTAAAAACCTCCTAAAAAAAGTCAATCTGGTCAGTGACATAGGTAATGTCAAGGAATTGAAAAAAATAAAACGGAAATATGAAATATGGCGGTATTTCCCATCGTATTGATTGACGTAATACACAGATTTATTAAATATACTGTAATAATAATAATAATAATATAAAATATATATTTATTTCAGGCAATTACGCCCATATTTGTTAATTACAATAATTACTGTAATTACAATGAACTGGTAAAAGCGTATTTCAGAAATTAAAGAAAAAATAAACAATTGAATACTAAATTTTAAATTAAAATAATAATTTTTCGAATTAAGTATAAGAAACTACATTTCAGGGTAGTTAACAAAATTAATTTAAATTTAAATAGAAATAAAAATAACTACAATTAACCTATTTAATAAAGAGGAATGTAGGTACTGGCATGCAGCTGCAACCATCAATCACAATTAGGCGAGAGATATTAGACTTAGGCATCCTAAATTCGAAATTTTTTCCCGTACACATAGGAACGCCTTACACAACCAAACGTGAGCATTATTCTTTTAAAGGAATCACGTTTCGCAGAATCACATTTCGCGGAAAGACGCTTCTTATAGTCACGATACGTCGACTGTCTAGTAACTGTAGCATTACGGAACTGATTTTGTCAGAACTGCATTTAAAAATTGTAGGTATTAAATAATGGTGTTACCGTAAGAGCTTCGGAAGGTGAAAGATTTGTCCCAGACTTACCTCTGCTTATAAGCATCATGCACACTAACTGCGGCCGCCATGAGGCCATTCACCACGTAGTCCACGGGCACAATTTCTGCGGTTACTGTTTCTACACAGTTTAACGTGCGCAGGATGCCCGTTACTGGAAAATATTGATATAATACAAACATGGGGTACAAATTCATACAAATTAACTTTAGTACATATTTAAAACTGTAGATGGCGACACTTGGATGATATAAAAAAATACAAAATATTGAATCTGGAAATGTTGAGGTATGTCATACTAAAAAAGAAGTATAAAATGCTATGCTTAGTTGGTAAAGCGTCTGGCACGGTATGTTAGAAGACTTCGGTTCGAATTCGGCCGGATCTAAGGAATTTATTCTGAGTGTTCGATCTTTGTATTAATAATTAATTATAACAAACTAGTGGAGTAATTTCACATAAAAATAACTGAATATCATTTCAATAAAAATTTAAATACAATGAATAGTGACATCTCTAGTCGGGACTGGTAGCTGTAAAGGTATCTAACTGGATAACGAAATATCATACATGGCACAACGGCTAAAAAAGTCGCTGAAAAACCAAATGCAAAGATACGACGCAAGCACATAGAAAAATTCGTGAGGTCCGCTGGTTCGTTCCGTTGCTTAGTTGGTATAGCGTCTGCCACGGTATGCTAGAAGACGTCGGTTCGATTCCGGCCGGATCGAAGGAATTTTTTTATGGATGTTCGATCTTTATATTAATAATTAGAAGTATAAAATATAAAAAAAAGATATGCAAAACTATTTAAACAACATTTTAGTAATATCATGTACTAATCTTAGAATGAGAAATGCTAATCGCAATACAAGATGGCGTAGTCGGGCATTTAGTACCTATTGGTACACCAGACGTCGCGACGGGTACCAAATAGTTATTTTTTGTAACCAATTTGTTTTACATTGACAAGCTGCAATTTGTCAAAGCTATTCCAATTTCCAGTGATAACAAACAAATAAACTAGATGGCGCTTATTGCACATATTTTTATAGATAGTGCTGGCTATTCTTGTATTTTGTTTAGGATTAACGCCATCTACCCATGTTAGGAAGCGTTAATTTAAAAATTAGTTTGTAACACACTGTGCAAATTGCATGTGTGTGTAGATCAATTTCAATTCTATATTTTTATTTTATATGTAATTTTCAGTGACTGTAGGTATTTTAATTATATTTTTTATCCCTGTACAAACTTTTCCGGAAAATTCTCGCGCAGTCTCGGGAATTTACGCAGATGTCGTATTTACAAGTTACGCAATTGACATAAAGTACCATTCCGCGTCCTTAACTTTAAGATTTGAAATGTAGGTAATTCTTACCTCCCCCAACAGCCACTCCAGTGGGTCCATACATATTATCAATCCAACATTTTAGTGGCTCTGTCGATGTCGACGTCACTGAAACAATTTCTATACATTAGTACCAGCAGCTTGATTTTTATTGCCTCTCCCGATCGAAAACTGCGTCTTTTCCGAGTCGAGCCGCGTAATTGCGATTCACAACTGGCCGATCGGAAACTTTTGACATTTCTAATCGGGACAATAGTTGATTTAACTCATAACTAGAAATATATAGTAGGAGGAGGTTTTTCTAAGTGTTCGATCTTTGTATTAATAATTATAACAAACTAGTAAAGTAATTTCACAAAAAAGAATTGAATATCAATTCAATAAAAATTAAATAAATACAGTGAATAGCGACATCTCTCGCCAGGACTGGTAGCTGTAAAGGTACTAACTGGGTGATAAATCTTTCATAGATTTCTCATAGATGGCACTACGACTAAAAAGTCGTTGAAAAACCAAATACAAAGACACGACCTAAGCACATAGAAAAATTCGTGAGGTCCGTTGGTTCGTGCCGTGGCTTAGTTGGTATAGCGTCTGACACGGTATGCAAGAAGACGTCGGTTCGAATTCGACCGGATCGAAGGAATTTTTTCTGAGTGTTCAATCTTTGTATTAATAATTATAACAAACTAGTGGAGTAATTTCACAAAAAAGAATTGAATATCAAAACAATAAAAATTTAATTATATAGTAGGAATCAGATTCATCTCCTCGCTAAGAAAAACTCATCTGATTTCGAGACCCGGGTGATCAAAATCAGCATGCAGGTCTACCACGAAGTATGATTCTGCGTAACTGCATTATAATAAACGCGTTACTAGGATTGAAAATTATGTCTTAAATCTTCTTAGAAATGGATTCATAAAAGATGTCGAACCGTGGTGCTTGCCACCACCTTAATCACTTTTAAAAATAAAATAATTTATTTACATACAACAACATTAAAAAAAAACCTTTATTTAAAGTACTTTTTTGTATAATACCAAGCGACGAAACGAACGCGTCGGTTGCAGTTTTACTCAGAGCCTTAAATCGCAAAGATCTTAAGTGGGTGATAGACGTACGAGGTTAAAAATCGCGGTTTTAAAGTTTGCGTTCTTACTCAGCTCGACGTCGTCGGTTTTTTAGTAATTTTAGGAAATTTAGTAAGAGAGTTACGTGAACAAAAGGCAGACTTTCGTAATTATTTAAGAATGCCCGAGTCATTGTACGAAGAACTCTTGCACTTAGTTACACCTATAATAGCTAAACAAGATACCTGCATGAGAGAAGCTATTTCATTTGAAACAAAATGGCGGCTCGTGACTCGCGACGCTGAGGCGGGCTACGAGCAAGATTTCAAACGTGTTTGATGGCTGATGGACTTGCGCGGCAATTTTAAAATTCGCGTACTTAGAGTGATACATGAGTGAAAAAGGTCGCGTATTTACTCGTACGTCTATCACCCACTTTAGGGTCACTGCCCCTAAGACTGTCACCCTGAGACATAAGTTGACAAGTCCCATTTCCCTGAATTTCCCTCCGTGTCCCATAGCCTGGGGTCACAATGGATATTTTAAATACTAGTAATATGTATCTCATTTTTTTATATATATTATAATGTTCATACCGCTAGCGTAGATTTGTACATTTGTATAATAGCGCATTCGTAGCTAATCCGAGACTACACAAATCTAGAAAGCTCGGTCCCACTTCGGACGTCGTTTGTGCACTAAGTCCGATTAGAATGCGAGAGAATACGAATATCGCTTGTGCACCTAGAGATAAAATGATCACCTGTGACATTTTGGAACGTCATTTCTCGGATTCGGAACTGGTGGTCTACTATCGATCTCCGTCCGACATCCGTCCGAAACAATTACTGTCAAATAAGTAATATTCGACAAAATTAAAAGACAAGTATCTAGTGTGAAGCTTCATTCGTATCACGCGTCTTTTCATTTGGTCAAGTATTGCTTATATATATTAAAGTATATAAGTATTTGGCAGTAATTGTTTCGGACGGATGTCGGACGGAGGTCGAGAGTAGACCCCCTGATATGAATCGGACGTAGTGTGCGAACGCTTTTAGGAGCTTTTCAAAGTAATTTTCTTTACCTATCGCAGGTCTAAAAATGCCTAAAGGTATATTTCCAGCATTTAGTCGCAGCTCATTTTCAGCCAAAGCTTTGGTAAACGTGTACGTGTTCGGCCATGGGCCCAAGATTCTGAAACAAAGAAATTTGAAGTTGTTCTTTAAATCGCTCATTTACTCTCGACGTAAAAAGTGTTATAAGTTTCAAGTCTCGACCCCTCCTACGTAAAGTATCGTATGTCGATATTGCCAACTTGACAGGGGAGCGTTTTAATGCTTTGAATTCACTGAAATGTGCATAACACGTGACCTTAGCATTTTTCAGTTTTAGTCGGCAAAACTAGTTACCCACATAGAGTATTATAAAATATATGCGTCAACAAGCGGGTAAACTAAAGTGAGACTGACCGGGTCGGGTGACATAGTATACACTTATGAAATAAATTGTGGATGTTCATCTAACTGATATCTAGGATTTTATAATACTCTATGTGAATAACGAGCTTTGCCGAATAAAACTGAGAAATGCTAAAGTCACGTGTTATGCTTATTTCAGTGAATTCAAAACTTTAAAACGCGTCCCTGTAAATTGGGCAATTTCGACATAGGATACTTTACGTAGTCGATTAGTCTTTGTCTGTATCTGCACGCACAAGGAACAAGTGGTAAGCGACACGCCTGTCCATAGCAATTGAAGTGCCATTCAGGACTAAATAGCAAAGATATGAAGAGTACTGCCACTGCGCCCACCACCCTGAGGCAGTTGATAAATACCATGTGCCTTTAATTTCAGCAGCACCCCTACCCTTCAAAACCGGAACGCAGCAATGCTTACATTTCTGCTTGGCGGCAGAAATAGGTAACGTGGCAGTACTTCCCTAGACGAACTCTTCCACAAGGAGCTCTACTGCAACAATGTGTCTGTGGCATTGTAGCTCTGCCAAGCGGACAGAGTGATCGGAAAGCGTTCAAAGTTCTTTTTGGACGCCAATGTAATCGTGGTGTGTCTTAGTCGTGTTCCGGTAGTGTAAGATGTCAATCATAAAATATTTATTTGTTATGCAAGACTGCAAATTTGTTGTATGACGCGAATGTTTGTATTGAGACCTGAGCAAGCGAAGGATTCTAAGATTCAAAAATAAAATCCAGAGCCTAAGTTAAGTCACTAGACGCAAAACAAATTTGCTACCGAGCAAAACACACAACTTTTCACCTCACTGTAGCGAGGAAAATGGTAGATGAAAGAAAAACAGTTGAACTATAACAAATCAGTAAAATTAAGTACTTAGTTATCATTGTCAACAATAAAAATAATAAAATATACGCGTAGTTGAATGTGTCATTACGTTTTACAGTCCATCGTCAATTTCGAATTTTAAAAACCTTTTCGCTTTTTTTTCATTTTAAAAACGCTAGTATGCATGGAAAAAACGCATTTGCGCGCAGATTTCTTATAAGAAAGATAACCTTTCCGATCTGGTAAGGTGAAATGAATATTTATTTTACTTTAACGTGTCTGATCGACTTGAAATTTGGTATGCTATGGTATGATAATTTCGGTCTGATACTACAATCAGGACTGTCTGTATACTACCCAACTCCGTAACTGCTCACAGGTTATTTTATATTGTGATTGGACTTATTAGTAAAGAGGTGTGAGCTTATAAATATATGGTGACTTTTTGGAGTACACCGTTTTGTATAGGATTTTCAAATTTTGATTTAAGTATTTATTTTAATCTAGTTTTCTAAATATTTACGCTCTGTCCTTAATGGAAGCGAAAATAAAAATATTTTTCATACCTATGTAAGGTACTGTTCCAACTTTACCAATAAAGCTTTTTTATAGGCCACTCCATCTGTTCTATCATAGTCATAATCAGCTCCCATACTTAGCCTATCCCACTATTCTATACTGAGTCTGTATCTCTTCCATCATGTACTTGCTTTATCTGTTTACCATACACTTCTATCTCCTAATGTATAATTCATCAATCTCCCTACCGCTTAACTATAATCCATCAATTGGTGCAACGCTTCTCAATCTACTCCACAAGGGTAGACGTGTTCTTCATTAAAAAGTAGTTTCGTAAGCAAGTCAGTTGTTATGTCGACTAGCCCTCTTATGCCATACTCAGTCTATCATTCTGCACTTACTTTATACATAGTGCTACACTTACGTAGGTAATAGATCGTCGATTTCTTGATCGCTCAACTTATCCACCATTTGATGCAGGGTTTCGCAGTCAGCTTTACAAGGATAGAAACGTTCTTCTATCCGAGGGAGGTGGCAGTTCGAGTACGCAGTTGAAATATGCATGAACACCTGGAAGAGGTAATTTATTACGTAGGTAAATAACATATATTACGAGTGCCTATACGGAGTCATGATATCCCGAGTAACAGAGTCGGAGATTTTGTCGCTAGCTCATATTGAGGCGTAATGTAACAATGCATGACGTGAGTGACGTGGGGTTCTGAAGCAATACCTTGCACAGGCATTTTGAACGCACTGAATTAATTTCTTGGACACGGTGATGCAGTAATTTAGTTTGAACAGTACTAGTGCATTACAAAGCATTTCCCTTAATCTAAATGTATAAGATCTCAAAACCTATATATAATATTTTGAGACGATAGATGGACGATATTTAGAAGCAGTTACGTATTGTCTCTAGTAAATATTGTTGGAAACGCACTCTATCGTTCAACAAAATAACCAAATAACGAACTACCTTCAACATTTATAGCGGGATTCTATTTAATAGTCGTTCCAATTTGTTCACAAGAGCCTAAAAGCGGATAATTGATTTAATTAGCACTAAAGAACTTCTCAGAAATATGCCAGTTGCAATTCAATTGCAAATGCTATGCAATTCAAGTCCATCATCGCGGTATTGTAAAAAAATTACTTCCGAATCCTACAAAGTTTGATTTGTAATATTTGAGTACTTAAAAGGTCTATAAATTACTAATAAATTAAATTGTGAGTACTTACATTGAGCCCTTTCATGTCCCTAGCCAACCGCAACAAGTGTAAAGGTGCTCGCACATTGGTTACCAATGCGGCGCGCAAGTGTTCGTCGAACTTCACCGTCGCTGCTGAGTGGAATATAATGTTTACCTGAAATATTTACAATAAAACTAGATATAACAAGACGACACTTGAAGGTATGCGAGACTATTTAAAATTTTTGAACATATTATACAATGTGTTGATTTGCATTCTCGCCATATATACAGAGGTTATTTGGGTTCAGTTTGTCCGGTGAAACTGAGCCTAAACCACTAAAAAAATAAATCGAAAAAAAATTTCATAAATTCCTATTTTTTATTTAATTGCGGTAAACAAATTTGATCCAAAGGTCGTTGACTTGCACGGCACTTGCAAACATTTTGAACAATGACGTTAAATGCGCATAATGAAACGTATTTTAGATCTATTTGGTGGTGGGATGCGGGTAGCGACGGCGGGGAATGTCGTATCGAGCGCGCGATTGGTAGATCAGACGACCTTGCTTCCCGTACTGCATCTACGTCACGCTGACATCCCACATACATTCTATTCTAGTCTGTCACGAAATGCCACGTGGTTTGGTAAGCAAACAAGAATTAGTAGTGCAAAAAAAAATCGCTACCAGGCTCACCAGAACCTGCATGGATGGATTACCACCATCAAGTACATGTGCGTGTCTATTCATATGGCATGATGTGAAACGTATAGTTTACGCGGAGGAAACGAGTGTCGAAGTTTCTGCTTTCAAAGTTGTGAAGTCTAATGTTGAAACGAAACTCACGCGCGAATCTCTGCATAGCTGGTGGTGGCTGTGTAGCTAGGTACTTCTAGCCATACTTTCATGTAACCTAAGGTTGGTAAGTACCAAATCTAAGTTACAAAATACTTTTTTCGGTCAACTTGTCTAATTAACTTAAATGAATAGTAAATTATAACAATACTAGCACAGAATCATAATTTAAAAAGTAGGTAAATAAGCGATCGAGACAGATTACGCATCGCTCGGTGACGCGTGTGGCGGGGTTACTACCCTTGCGTGGTGCATAAGAGTTGAGACAATTTTGCAAAATTTTACTAGATGCAATTAGCCTGAATATGGAACAGAATATTTTTTTAAATATTTTTAGATGGTTTAGCATTATTTCTATTTTTAATTTCTTCAATATGGCGAGAATGCAAATCAACACACTGTGTAAAGAGATAACAATGATGATGAATTATGAGTAAAGAGTGATATTCCTGGAGTATTGGCTGAACCACGAACTGTTTCTGAATATTTTTTTCGTATAGCGAAATAGCCTGATGTTACGGGCTTTAATTCAGACTTAATTTTTTTACTAACGAAACTTTGAAAAATGTATATTGTACAGTATATGAGTTCTATTTAGTTCAGTTGACATAGAAACAATCATTGGTATATGTATATTTATGTGGTTTGTGGTATATGTAAAGTGTCTATAGAATGCAACGCTTTTCTTGTAAAATTACGAAGTTTTTGTTTTTTTTTCTATCGTGAAAATTTTTAGGAATCGAGTTTTCACACCGTATAGTAATCAGTGTATGTATATCCTTAATTTTACTATACAGGGTGATAAAATAATCACTGGCCATTATTTTTCCTGTGCTTAAGATTCAGTAATATAACACATTAGTGAAATAAAAAAAAAAAAAAAAACATTTTTTTGATGTTTATATTTCCCAATCATTTCTAACGCATGGTTAACTCTAAATAGTAAATAAAATTGAGCGATCGGCGTCGAGTTGTCTAGACGCCTAGGCGCCAGCACATCGCGACACACGACGACAGACCTGCGCTAACGCATCGCGCGTTAGTTTAATACATGAACTCCCGCGCTGACTCCGCCCACTGCCCCCTTCACCGTTCTTGTTGCTATAGTAACGGCGTCTACTAATCATCGGGTGTCAGTATGGTTCACAAGTTTTCGGAAAACTTTGAGACGTCATAACTTATTTATTTGTTAAGTATTTGAAAAAAAAAAACTGAATACGTATTTTTATTTCCATTACACAGTATGCTCCTTTAAAATGGTCTGTGGTTTTTTTATCACCCTGTATATTTTTTCCACGGTGATTGATTCAACATTTTCACTGTTATGTGGAATCAACCAAACCATTCGAGGTTGTATAGACTCTTAACCGTTGAATGAAAGATTCCAAATTTATCTTTTTGTGTCTTACAACTGGGCAACTGGGACTTCAAAAAAGTTTCTCAATTCGACTGTATGTTTTTTTTGTATGTATGTTACGCGATAACTCCGGTATTTGTGAACCGATTTTCATGATTCTTTTTTTGTTGGAATGGGGGTACTTCCGTAGTGGTCCCATTTCATGACGCATGAAGATTCTTTTATATAAATAGCGTCTAAATTTTACTTAAGGAGCAATTATTTTAATGGTTGATTTTGCTATTTCTCCAATTCAAGGCGTTTTTCTCTCCATATACTTTGAGTAGTGAGAACCAATTATTGTTATCTCCAGTGTCAAGTCCTGTATAGTGACGAACTAGGGGACATTTCAAAAAAACTTAGCAAATAGACGTAATTCCACGTACTTTTGAGGTCGGTTTTTTTAGTACTCTGTACTGAGATTATTATTTGTCATCAAAGTATTAATTTAAATTGTAATAGCATTTATTAATAAGATGTAATTTTAATTTATTTACAAACAGTGAATACTTTCCTCGTTTTCATTAATGGGAGGGACCTCATTGAATATCCTGACCGAGTGGGGACTTGAGCTGCGTATGTGTAGCTGAGTTCGTGGCAGAAGCAAGCTATTGCGTGGTCCAAAAGTGATTGTGGTCAGGATTTTATATATTAAGTAAAGTACATCATATCGCGTGACACATTAGCACATTCTTTAGACAATATCTTTAGGTATATCGCATATTTTATGTAAAGTCGTTATTTAATAGTAAATAACTAAATTTGTTATAGACAAACAGTTTTGCCCGCTTTAAAGTGCACAATGCTGCATTCCATGACCCTCTGGCAGATCTTTAGTTTAGATCTGGAACTCTGTCAGCTACCATGTTTATGCATCGTAGTGATAGTGAATAAAAAAACATAATTACCTTCTCCATGAGCATCTGCCTGTCACTCAAAGTAAGTCCAAGCCCTGCGGCTTCACAGTCGGCGGGTACTGCCACCACTTTGTGACGAAACTTTGGCACTTCTTTTTTAAGGCGGTTGAACACCTGTAATATGTGAAAAATTGTAATGTTATAAATAACATTTATGATGAAATTATTGTTATAAATATCCTTGAGGGTAATGCATTAGGATTTAATTTTCAACTTTACTTTATTAGGAATGCAGGTACTTTTAACAAAAATAATGAAGGTGTATAACTAACGTGTGTGACGAAATTCTTTCATAGATTTCTCATAGACAGTGCTACGGCTAAAAAGTCGTTGAAGAACCAAATACAAAGAAACGACAACAAGCACATAGAAAAATTCGTGAGGTCTGTTGGTTCGTTCCGAGGCTTAGTTGGTATAGCGTCTGCCACGGTATGCTAGAAGACGTCGGTTCGAATCCAGTTAAAAAATGTTTGTGAATGGAAGTTCTCAATTCGTCTGTTTTTTTTGTGTGTGTGTGTTACGAGATTACTTCGATATTTGTGAACCGAATTCGATGAGTCTTTTTTTGTCGGAAAGGGAGTTACTACAGTAGTGGTCCCATTTAAATTTAAAGAAAATATTCCACCTCTAAGGGTGACAAATTAGGAAATGAATCCGATTTATTAGATTTCACCCACTGTCCGTTAACCGACTTCAATAAAACATGGCAAGTAGACGTACACGTAATTGCACAAAATCTTTAATACTATTATTTATTACATTTTTTATTGAATTGATATTCAATTATTTTTTGTGAAGTTACTCCACTAGTTTGTTATAATTATTAATACAAAGATCGAACACTCAATTATAACAAACTAGTGGAGTAATTTCACAAAAAATAATTGAATATCAATTCAATAAAAAATTTAATTAATACAGTGAATAGCGACATCTCTCGCCAGGACTGGTAGCTGTAAAGGTACTAACTGGGTGATAAATCTGCAATAGATTTCTCATAGATAGCGCTACGATTAAAAAGTCGTTGAAAGACCAAGTACAAAGACACGACGCAAGCACATAGAAAAATTCGTGAGGTCCGTTGGTTCGTTCCGTGGCTTAGTTGGTATAGCGTCTGACACGGTATGCAAGAAGACGTCGGTTCGAATCCGACCGGATCAAAGGAGTTTTTACTGAGTGTTCGATCTTTGTATTAATAATTATAACAAACTATTGTTTATTTTATAAAAAAGTAGAGGCAATATTAAATTCCCGTCCACTTGCCCCCCTTTCCACAGACCCTACTGATCCATCACCATTAACTCCAGGTCACTTTCTCATTGGGTGGTTATTTAACAAATTAGATTTTTTGAGAGACGGATAATTAAGAAAAAAAATAAAATAGATATTTCTTGAAAGCATGTAAATTTAGTTAAAAGTCTGTGGTTTTCAAAAAATTACTAGAATATACTATGTTTTGCGATTGTGAGTGTAACCTCACCAACAAACTGCTTTCGCAGTTTAGTGAGAAATTGTATTATGTTTTCTTGTATGCCTTTTGTATGAAATAAATAAATAAAATAAAATAAAATAAATAAATTGACGCGGCTTATGATAGATTATGTACAATATACAGATATTATATTGACTTAATGAATATATAAATGATATATTGAATAGTCGGATAGATTAATCTAAACACGAGAAATCGCAGTAAAAATCACGTGTTAAAAGTGACAAATGTATATAAAACACTTCACATGATGTATTTAAAAGCGAATACTGCTAAGTGACAATTATTTGCGTACGTAGTGTACACAAACGAAAACCTGATACTTACTTTATTGACTTTACATACATGTGCAAAAAGACTTCCAGCACTCTTGTTGTTGTCTAGTATTAGTTTTGTTTACTTTAACACTGTTGTAATGTACTTTTCTAAGAATTTTATTTTATGACTTCAGTGATGGAGTGCATTTGACTATATTATCGCCTGTCCGAACAGGGAATCGATCTCGCCAAATGTGAAAACCTGTAACTTTCCTATACAGATCGAAAGCCTTAATTATAAGGATTATTTTCTTGTAAATAACATAGCATCTTGAATAAAAGGAAGATCATGAAAATTTAACTTGAAATTTTGTTCAGGAAAATTAATAGATAGCCTTTTCTCTGACTTTCCCGCGTTCATAACAGCTGAGTTTATTATTTCATTTTACTAATGAGGATAAATTTGAGAAATAGATATCATTTTCCTATTATCAGTGCATGATACAATGCAATGCAATGCAAACTTTGAAATTATAACGTCAGTTGTCTTCTAGCATACCGTGCCAGACGCTATACCAACTAAGCCTCGGAACGAATCAGCCTCACGAATTTTTCTATGAGCTTGTTGTCGTTTCTTTGTATTTGGTTTTTCAACGACTTTTTAGCCGTAGCACCGTCTATGAGAAATCTATGAAAGAATTTCGTCATCCACGTTAGTTATACACCTTCATTATTTTTGTTAAAAGTACCTACATTCCTAATAAAGTAAAGTTGAAAATTAAATCCTAATGCATTACCCGCAAGGATATTTATAAGAATAATTTCATCATAACTGTTATTCATGGTCTTCCTTTTATTTAAGATGCTGTTTTATTTAGAAGAAAACAATTCTTATGATTGAGGCTTTTGACCGGTAGATATAATAAAATTACTCGTGTTTTTTTTTTTTCACATTTCGCGGGTTCGATTGCCGATTCAAGGCGATTATTTAAACATCTTTTATTGCAGTTCGAATTGTTTTTAAAATCAAAATGAAACGTAGTTTTAGTAAAATTTTCTATCTACGATATTTAAGGTACTTTCCCTCCATGTGGCATAGCCGTAGGACGCCCTGTATAGTCCGAAGTGCTTAGTGAGCGCGGCACGTGTGCCAACAGAAGGTAGAGTCCCACATATTTGAGTTCAGTCCGCCATTTTCGCTTTGTACGTTATGGTCGTGTCAATTATCTAGCGCAAAACCTCGAAAAAGTGGAAAAATGCTTCTTTGGACTGAAAAAATTATAGTCGCACTTGTAATATTGTCTATGGCGGTGTATCGTAATAGTTAAGTCTTATTTTATTTAATTGTAATAAATCTACAACTTTCTGTATATCGTAATATTTCTTCTGTTACAAGTAACGGAGTAAACCCGGTACCGCTACAATATGATCGCTCCTTTTTTGGAGAACTAAGTAAACATCTCGAATTAAAATAGTAGGAACTAAATCAATGAAACAAAAATACGCGGTTGGAGGGAAATACGATCACCAAACGAATATCTGAGGCTTTGATATTTCGGCCACGTCCACAGGAGAACACATCCACACATTTTATATGCAACACGAAGACTAAGACCACCACAACTCTAAGCAGGAGGACCCATATTTACTACCAACATACTACCAACGTAACGAAGACGACTGTATAAGATAAGTAAAAATTTAGGCAATTTGAGAGTGTGCGTTATAACTCGAGACGCTACGGACGAGAACATATCCTCACCCAGGAGGATCTACTACGGCAACACGAAGTCCAACACCATCAACGCTTATTCTTAACAACACATAGCCGGCAGGAATCTGACCACCGGTTGCGGCTGGTAGGCCTTCTCCTTCACAATCCCGGGCGTGACACTCCCTTAAACTGTGTCAGATTTATTCTGGCTGGATGTGGTGCCTATGAGCAACTAAGTAAACATCTCGAATTCATCATCATTCAACTATTGACCGCTAGATGGTAGCACAGTAACATTGAATGAAATTTCAATATAAAACAAAATAACAAAATGTCGTAACTTGCAATAATAGGTATTAAACTTTAAACGATATGTCAACATGGCAAAGTTTAAATTATATTAACAGTCCAGAATTTGTTGCTTCTTTTCATCAGCAATCATTATCAACAGTTCATAGTGTTATGTATCTGTGATAGTAATCTAGAATTCGAGACTTAAGACATTGCTATTATTTTTTTCTTCCGTGCCTTCCGTGCCACCGGTCCTCGGCCTCCATTCCAGCACTCTTCTGCTCTGCCGCTCGTCCCTTTCTTTGCGCAATGATACGACTCCGAATTTATTTGTTTTTCATTCAGTGACTTTGGACCGTTTGTTTTGGAATTTAAACCTTCAATGTAAAGGGATACGTGCCGTTGTCCGTGTACAACTGGTCAAGGTAATAAATGTCATTTTTACGAAGAATGTCGTTACGTAATTATTTACATTAGTTCTACGGTGGTAGGTGTCTCAAAAATATTTGTTATACAGGATGTTACAAAAGTGTTCGTGACACTTAACTACTTTGGTCAGAAATTAATTATACTCAAAAGGAAAAATTATGTATCGAGCAGTGTGCTAATTTAAATAAAGTACTTACGGGATCTTCGAAAATCTCTTCCACCCTCGTATAGATATCCTTCCCCCTCTTCTGTCGGACGAGTAAGTATAAATTCTCCACCGTTGGACAGGATCGAAGAAGTTTCTCCACCAGAATCTTGCCGAGGAAGCCTGTTAGAAATACATTTAGTTATTAACAATACATAGATGTACAGATCATGAAGCTTCGTGCAAGCAATTTGTTCTTTTTTGTTTTTATGATCTCGTAGTAAACATTTCCTTTCCTATCCTATCTAAAATAATCCTAACTTTGGAATCTGCTTAGCCACACTGGGATCCGCTAAGGTACCGGGTGGGATTCGATTTCCACTCTGCCCTACCACACCGTCACTGGTTGGGATAAGCGGAATTTTATTCCGTGACTCAGCCAACAAAGAGATCTTATCTTAATATTATAATTAGATATTTTTGTCGAAACTGTAACAGTACAGATTCGACAAAAATGTATGTATATATGTATACGTAATGAAATTCCCACCAGGGCAGGGGGGACAGCTGGTAGGGACTAGAGGAATATTCCCGATTAGGTTGGGGAATGAACTCCCTGTTGGGGTTCTCCCGCAGGAATACAGATTCCTTCAAAAAGGGTTTGAGTAGGGTCCTAAAGGGTTGGCAATTTTCTATTTTCTAACGAGATCCAATTATCTAACGAGAACGAACTACATACAGTACTGAGAAAATTTTGTAAGTTAAAAAACTTACCTGTGGCACCGGTAATTAAAACATTCTTCCTATTAAAGAACTGTTGTATTTCTGACAATTTTGTCTCGTTCATATTCTGATCGTACTTGGTATAGTCAGCACAAAAACTGTCTTTTTCGTTTATCATATTACAGGCGTTTTCGTCTTTTGTGAATAATGTATTGAAGCGCAAATTTTTTAAATTCTCTTCCGTCTCCGACATTTTGGTTGTTTCCAATGGTACAGACATGTTTTAATTGTCTTGTCTTTTTCCCGTTAGATAGTTGCCCGCATTTTTAAACCTGTAACAAAATAAAAAATCAATTGTTAATAATACGAAAAAAGGCGTGGTAGGCTAATCGTTTGACTAAGCGCCTAAAGCGCCGAAAGCAGAAGTCGTGGGTGGAATCCGGTTTCTCACCGTTGAGTTTCTCGGAATTCATGTGCGAAATTTACCATGAGCTTTTCGGTGAAGAAAAACGCCGTGATTAAACCAGCACGTCGAAGAAGAATGGCCTAAACCCTCGCCTGAGATGAGACCGGTGTCCAGCAGTGGGACATTTAAAAGGGTTGGTGATAATTAGTTAGTGAATTTCAGCTAAATTTCCGATATGAAAATTAAAACAAAAGTGTCTATGCGCGCGCACGTTTGTTCTTGAGGTCTTCGAACCGCCGGGTTTTGTTTGCAACGTCCAGTCCGTACTGATGATTTCGAGTTCTTGGGTTTTCGCGATTGTTACACATAGGAAATGAAACAATTTTTCCTAATTTAAATCGCGTATATTTGTTTTTTCAAACAAACCAAAGTTTCGAGCCCTTTACAGGTCCCATGGTCACGGTTGACTGAAAAAGTGTCTAGGTTTAAATGAAATATGCTTTATTACACGTCAATAAGTTATACTGATAACAAAGAACAGTAATGTAAGTATGAGAGACTAAGCTGCAGCACAACAGGCGGCTTTACTGTTACGTAGAAATTTGTTCGCAGGAAAGATGGCACAAAATTCATAAAAAAACCTACCTCAAAAGTTCGTGGAATTATTTGCCAAGTTTTATTGAAATCGGATTCATCCCCTAGTTTGCCACCCTTAGAGGTGGAATATTTTCTTCAAATTTAAATGGGACCAATACTTAGGTAATCGGTTCAGAATTGCCGGAGTAATCTGGTAACGTACACTCAATAGCAGTAGACATCTAGTAGCAGTAGAGCTCCTTGTGAAAATGTTCGTCCAGGGAAGTACTGCTTCCTTACCTAGTTCTGCCGCCAAGCAGTAATGTCAGCATTAGGGACTGTATTCCGGTTTTGAAAGGTGAGATTGCTGGTGAAATTACAGGCACATGGGACTTGTTAACTGATGTCTCAGGATGACGGGCGCAGTGGCAGTGCCCATCAGATGTTTGCGGCACTGCAACTGTTCTATACAAGCGTAAAGCTACCAACCAGGCGCATGACTTGCTCGTCCTGTCACTTGATATTATAAAAGTAACACAAAAAAACTGTAAAACATTTGTAGAGCAAATTGGAATGTTCTTTGTAAATTAAAAAATGAAGTATTTAATTAATAAGTTTTGTAAAAATAGGGTGGTTTGCTTTACCACCTGGATGTGTGAGGATGACTCTACCACCTCAGTCATCTGTGACCATGGGACCTGTAAAGGCTCCGAATGTTGGTTTGTTTGAAAAAACAAATATACGCGATATAGATCCGAAATAATAGTTTCATTTCCTATGTATAGAAATAGCGAAAACCTTAGAACTCGATAAATATATTTTATTCACAAGTTACCTCGTAAAGGAACGACGATTGACTGAAGGTGGTGCCTCATGCCGTCATGGTATTTATATAAAACGATGTAACAATTTTATTTAGAATTTTACTATTTGAAGTAGTAATACTCAATAGCTTGCTAATTTAAAGGTAGATATAATGTAGCGAAAACCGTGATAATATATATATTTTATATGAAATCATATTTTTGAACAAATAACTCTTATGCCTTGACGACCGCGGTGGCTTAACGGTTTTGTGGGCGCTGGTTGCGGGGGTTTCGGGTTCGATTCCCGGTAGGACCAATTTTAGAAATGGACTTTTCTAAATTGGTCTTTGTGCTCTGGTACTCATAGAAAAGGGAATTCCATAGTTTGAGACCAGAAAAATGGTGTGGTTGGCACATATATTATACATTATATACACATATACAATATTATTGTATATATGTATATTAGTTAGTAGCAGCAGAGCGCCTTGTGAAAGAGTTCGTCCAGGGAAGTACTGCCACCTTACCTATTTCTGCCGCCAAGTATTACTGTGTTTCGTTTTTGAAGGGCTGGTGAAATTACAGGCACATGGGACTTGTCAACTTATGTCTCAGGGTGACGGGCGCAGTGGGAGTGCACCTCAGATCTTTGCGATTTAAAGCTCTGAGTGGCACTGCAACTGTTATGGACAGGCGTGTAGTTTATCATCAGGCGCTTGATATAATAAAAGAAATACTACATTGTGTAACAATAATTTATAGATTTTTTTTTTTTTTTTTTTTTATAATACCAAGTGACGGGACGAACAAGTCGTGAGCCTGGTGGTAAGCTACACGCATGCCCATAACAGTTGCAGTGCCACCAAGAGCTTTAAATTACAAAGATCTTGGGGGCATGGCCTCTGCGCCCGTCACCCTGAGACATAAGTTGACAAGTCTCATGTGCCTGTAATTTCACCAGCACCCTTACCCTTCACAACCGGAACACAGTAATGTGACCATTACTGCTTGGCGGTAGAAATAGGTAAGGTGGCAGTACTTCCCTGGACGAACCTTTTCACAAGGAGCTCTACTGCTACTAAAAATTATGAAGATAATAAAAAATTATATAAATATTATTATTATTATTATTATATTATTATATAAATAAAAAATTATGAAGAAAAAAGATAATTATGTTAAGGAAAATGGAACTTTTGAACAACTTAACCGAGCTAACCGTGACCGTGAGACCTGGTTCGAAGTCCAAACCAGTGCTTTGTTTGAAAAACAAATATATGTATTAGATTTTAGAACTGAAAAAATATTTATTTTCCGAATTTGTAGCAACTGTGCAAATCTAAAAACTCAACAGTTAGAGCTGCTAAGCTATTTGTATAGGACATTTGGTACAGATACACACGTTCGAAAATAGCATGTTATTAGCATGCTATTGAACTGTTCACATTTACTATAATTAGGGTCTCCACAGTTGGACGCAGATGACCCACGCGGACGTCTGTCGCGGACGGTAAAATATTTTATGCCTATACAGCACAATCAGTGCGACGCGGTCGCGGAGAGCTATCCGCGCGCGGACGGAAACCGGTTCTTACGTAGTCACTCGGTGACTGTAAACTGTCATTATTTGATTTTTTAATTCGGGACTTGATCACGTATAAAACACATTTTAATTACCTCGGCGTTTCGGATTTATTGCAATGTCCAAGGTCTCGAAGGAACTAAGGAAGAAAGGAAGGAATGCCAAAAGATGCTGACACCCGCCTCTTCAGAGGTCGAGACCATGACGTTGCAATACGTGCGAAACGTCGAGGTAATTAAAATATGTTATGTACGTGATTAAGTCCCGAATTAAAAATCAAATAATGGAAATAATGTGTGAAAATCGAGAAAGTTTAAATCAAAGTACAATACTTTGAACTGGCAACCAGTACTATGTCAATTTTGACAACTTTACAGGATGAAGAAAAAAATTAGTCATCGATATGTACATTATACATACATATTGATGGTGCAGTGCACCATGTCTGTGGAATCTCCGCGACTATTATTACAAAAACAGTACAGAGTACTAAAAGAACCGACCTCAAAAGTCATTCATTACCTAGTTTGCCACACTTAGAGGTGGAATATTTACTTTAAGTTTAAATGGGTCCAAGTCTAAAGACCTTGCCAACCTGGGCATCAGGTTCTTGGCAAGACAACGCTGTTTTACATTAATAATACTAGCAATTAAATACTAGCTCATTTTCTAAAGTAAAACTGTCTTTGTTAAATAACACTATCTCTAGTCATAATATTTATTTCACTAAAATGTTACATCATTTACATTGACCTACCAATAACATAAATTTTTTAATTTCTTTTTCAACACTTTTTTTACTAACCTTCGTAGTTTCTCTGAGCAGTCTATTTTATTGTATATTTTTGATATAACATATTTATCAGTTTTTTTCCATAGTTATTATATTAACTTTGCATTTATTTGATTTCCTTTCTCTAACTCTTTTTGTTATAAACCAATAATTAGTCCTCACTCTTATAATAATTTTCAATGGCTATCGCAAATTTCACTTTTTTATCAACTGGCAATATTTTACATATTTTAAATACATAATTTTTCATAATCGTATTTATATTTATTCTTGGTGTTTTTATCTACCAAAAATTTTATTAATCTTAACTGAATTTATCGAGTTCTTAGGTTTTCCCGATTGTTACATATAGGAAATATTAATGCAAACAACCCTATTTTTTCACTATAGTTACAATAGTTATGAATTAAATACCTTATTTTACCTGTATTTGACCTGTAAAGGGCCCGAAACGTCGGTTTGTTTGAAAAAACAAATATACGCGATTTAAATCCGGAAAAATAGTTTCATTAACTGAATTTTTTTAATATCCTGCATACAGGTTTTGTAAGTATCAATATACTTAAACCATAGCCAATCAACGAGTCAGCCCGTCATAGTACACCACAAGCAACGTCCGCTTATTCAATATTCTAACCATTTGATAAAATTTACTAATAATATGTCTTACTTAGTACAAACATTTTTCCAACCCTAAGTTCCTAAAATTGTTTACTAATTCAATATTTACATCCAGGTTTATAATAATGCAAACACTCATACGAATGACCTAATATATTTAATACCCTCCGGTCCACCGATTTTGCAACACGGTTATGTGGTACATTATGGTTACATCTGAGGTACCCTCTTTCAAACAAAAAAAGAATCATCAAAATCGGTTCAGATCGGTTGAGATTTAAGATTTCATCTTCCTGCAATTCCGAAAACAAAAATACAAAATCTCATTTAGAAAGTCTTTTCGCAATTATTGAGTGCACATTAAACTTTCTTTTAAAATAGTAAGTAAATAGGCGGCAATTACCACTTTCAAATTTTTATCCATAACTGTACCACGCCCGATCACGATCCGCGGAACTGAAGGACAATCCATCCGCGACTGACTTCGTCCGGTCATCCGCGCGCGGACGAGAGAGACGGAGTTTCAATTCATATTGAAACTTAATAAAACACACTCAAGAGTTGTAAAGAAATTTAACGTTCAAGCCTGTTAAAGTCCCGCTCCTGGACCGAGCTCCGCTGTGGCAGCGAATACAACGCGGTATTCTGTAATCGCTGTCGTTATGATTCGGTATGGCTCTAATAGCGAAAGTCGTCGGTTACCGTATCGACAACTTACCGATTATGCTATTCTGTAAATCCACGTTAACGAAAATAGTTACTGCAACCGACGCGAAGCGATGTAAATAAATAAATAAATAACGCACACACTCAACATAGCCCCGCACTAGGGAAACCCTGTGTCGCGGGTGCCATGGACACACACATAGACAACCACAAATTACACCCAAACTCACGAGAGAAATAAATGTAAGCTATACAAATCTTTCTCCCGGCCCGGGAA